CCTGTTTGGGAAAGAAGCACATGGGTATGCTCAAAAGGCTGGAAAAGCCTCCCTTGATGTGCCCGATGGCATTGTCGCTCGCATTGATCCCGAGTTGGATGAAATTCGGTACGGAAATGTTGATGCGGGCACAAGTGTAGCAAACATCAATGCCCTAACTGTGCATCTCAGTGATAAGTGGAAAGTTAAGCTGATGGAAGACAATCAGGCCACGATCACTATCCTGCAGCAGGGACACTCACAGAAGCTAAGGCACACGGATAGGACCCAACGCATTAGCTTTAGATGGCTCCAGGAGCAATTCGTGAATAGGCAGTTCGAACTAATCAATGTTGACACTACCCTCCAAGCTGCAGACATCTTGACCAAGGCGTTTGACAGCACCCCAGTGTGGCACCATGCACTTGAGCTGATCGGTATCTCCCCCAGTCGCCAGGCGCGAGCCTGTGCCACCAGTTTGCTGCTCTCCCCATGCGCCAAGGCCGGAGAAGTTAGTGATCAGGGGGGGCAGATCGCTGCGTTATGCAACGTTCAGCCCAAGCGCCTCCTTATTGAATTCTGTTGTTCGACGACCTCACGGTTGGGCGAATCAAGAGACTCTTCAAAAGGTTGCCGTGTCATTCGGGTAACGGAAACCGAAGACGGGTGCTCCGATACGTGCAGGCAGTGGTTAGGCCGTGAAATCGCCGAATTCAGGAGCAAGAATCCTAAGGGCGCAATCATGTTCTACGTCTCGTTGCCATGCACTGGAGGTTGCCCGTGGGGTTATGTCAACCAGCAAACTCCCAAAGGTGCTGCCAAGATTGAGGGCCACATCAAGCAATTCCGATCACTGTTGAGAGGGTTCAAACGCATTCTCAATGATGTTTGTTCAAATGACATTAGAGTTGCTTTCGAACTCCCCAAGGCATGTCGTTATTGGAAATGGCCTGAACTATGGAGTTTCTTAACTAAGTACAAGATGAACAAGTATGAATTCCATGGTTGCAAAATCGGTATCAAAGGGAGAAATGGAAAACCCATGAAAAAGCAATGGGTCGTTGCCAGCAATATGCCCACTATTTCCGTTGTTGAGTACTTCAAATGTGATGGTTCTCACGAGCATGATGAAAGCCGTGGCACCCACTTGAAGGAAGCCGAGGGATACACGTACATTTACACTGATGCCGTTCACAATGCATTTTCCGAACATGCCACCATGCAGCCGTTGCTTTCGAGTGATTGTGCTGCATCGTTTTCGCAATGAGCGGCCCAACGGCTATGGCGCATCCCGCGAGGGATTGCGATCCGGCTTGGAGGAGGTGGATGGAGAATGTCGCTACCACATCGGTATGCACGAACGGCAAGTACGACGCTAACCTCGCCGCTACGGTCAAGGGCCTCCTGGAGACGACCTCTGCACAGTCGCTTATTCATACATGGGTGCAGGACCAACCGCATTATTTGCAGTTGCTTACACCCCTGTTAACTATAAGCGAACCTTATTTGAAGGTTGTGCAGGCCCCACGTGTACCAGACCGCGACCTCCTTATCTATGTGACTGTCGCTGACTCAGGACTGTCCATGGTTTCGGGCAAGAAGAAGAAGCTCCGCAAATATGATTTTGCAGAACGTTTGGATGCTTCTCGCCCGGCGCGTGTCGGTGCATGGAGGTCAGAAATGCTTTGGGGCAAGGGCCTTCAACAGCTTTGCAAGCGGTTGGCCGCCCTTATCGACGAGGTGCGCACGGACTACCCAACGGCGACCATCGTTCCGATGATTTATTGGAACGGCAATGAGCTTGTTGGGAAGGACGGCATTGAGCCCAGCGGCACCTACCCGTTCGACCAACCCGCCGGCGAGGCCAGTCAGTTGCTGGCAGACACCAAGAGGCACCTGGCTTGGACCAGGGATTTCGCGGCCCGCAAGGGCTGCGCATGCCTTGGAGTCATGACCGGCGCGAAAAGCTATCTCTACGGCTTCTCTATGATTTGGGACCGTTACATGACGGAAGTCCGGGATTACATCATCGGCGACCCCAATCATATGTTTGTGTACGTAGATGCCACACCCTTTGTTGAGACCATCGATTTGCTGGACAGGTATCATATGTGTTTCAGTGACGACAACATCACGAAGACCGTCCAGTTCATGCGCGGAACCCATCACATGTTGTATATGCTTTCTATCTTGCGCCCCGCAATGGGCAGCGTAGCCGAGCTGACACGTTCGCACGACTGTACCGTGCGTCCGATCGATGTGCTCGAGGTGCGCCACCAAGAAGATTGCACAGTCAACGTTGAGGTTCTCGCGTACTGCAAGGAGACGCTAACGAAGTGCGGTGTTTCTTTGTCAGAGATGATCGGGCTCCCTTTCACCCGTGAAGAAGTGGAAGTCCGGCAGCCTCTCGATTTCGCCCCCGTCAACCCAGCCGAGTTTGCAACTTCAGGTGAGCCTTCCGGTGCAGATGTTTCCGAAAGTGTTCGCCCGGCGCAAGCCGGTGCAAAAGCGGCTGCGGTGGCAAAGAGGGACGAGGCGGCGAGCAGGCCGGTACCACTCGACTCCTACGGGAGGAGCGTGACTGGGGGCCACTATGACTGCTGGGTGTATAGCATTCATGATGGCGTGAAGTATGTCGACTACGGTGAGGGCCCCAAGAGACTCGACATCATCAAGCAGCCCTCTTTCGATTACGACCCTTCCGTCAGGAGAATCAGTGACGAATACCACCGTTCCCTGACGTGCATTTCCAAGATCCTCCGTGGTCGTGGAACAGAAGGATGCGGGTACGTGATGCATGAGGACGGCTACATGGACCTCGAAGACCTGGGACTCGCGCTTCGCAAGGAGCTGCGATATCCCATTCCATGGAATATTCAGAATATCATGGACATCTTCAAGCTGGACAAAAAGCAGAGGTTCATTGGGCTTGGTTGCCCGGACGCAAGCCGGTGCGGAGACGTTCCATGTTCTCATTGGCTGTTCAAGCTGAAGGCCTCCCAAGGCCATGAGGACTGGCTCCAGATCGACGACTCCGGCATCGCGAAGGAGTGGTACGTGAACCCGGGGACTGACCTCGGGCGCTGGTCTGGCTGGAACGTTTGCAGCAACCCTCCTACGGTGCTTTATCACCGCACTGATAAGCGAAACTTCGCTAACATCATGCGGAACGGACTGCTTCCAGGTGGAGGGGACCAGCACGAGACAGGCAGACCTCACGTTTTCTTCGCTGACGTCCCCAGCACGAATGAAAATTACATCTCTGGTGTACGTGCGAACAAACCCCTGGAGATACAGATCGACCTCAGAATGGCCATTCGCGCAGGGCTTTGCTTTTTCAAGACGGAGAGCGACGGTGTCCTTACGCGCGACAAGGTGCCCAACTACACGATTATTTCGGTATTGGACGCTACAAATGGCGATGTATGGCACACTCGCTCCGAGCAATCGGATGCAGGTGCACCAGCTGAGGCGACTGAGGATGAACCCCAGGGAATGAGGCGCGACCAAGCCGTGGTTGATGATCGTTCAACAGCGCTGGAACGTATTGCTACAACGCGCACAAATGTGGCCTCTCCTCGCGCCTCGCAAGGGGAAGCGAAGAGACAGAAGACTTTCAACCCAATGGAGAACGTTGAGCTAAACGTCGCCACGTGCCCGGTTTGCAACAACAGTGTATTCGAGGGGCAGGTGCACTGCTCATCATGTGGGCAGTTGTCTCCCCTCAACCCACGCCTGTTGAAAGAGCAACAGAAGAATTACATTGTGCAGCGTTCCAATCTGCTGAAGAAGATGGGCCTCAGCACCCACGTTACAGCTCAGGTCCTAGCATCTGTGGGAACATTTGACCTCCGCGAGGAGGATCGTAACAGCATCATTCGTGGCTTGAACTCCCCGGACAGTGCTGTCATTCAGGAGGCACGGAAGAAGCTCAAGTCCGCCCTGAAGAACGGCTACCACTCTCTGCTTGACCGCTATGAACTCGACCTTCAATACAGGGTTCGTATGCTTGAGGTGGGCCGTCGGGAGGCGGACATGCTCCGCATGGAGTTGAGCGCAAATCTCGTCTTGGCTGCTCCAAAGCAGTCGCAAGCCCAGCGCACTCTGGGAGTTGGCCTTGGATCAACTTCGGAGTCGCGAATCGCAAGGCTCGCGTACATCAAGACAGAGTTGGAGTTCCTGCCCAACGAACTTCAAGATGCGCTTTCTTCTCGCTGGATCATAATGTTCCAAGGGATGCCTTACAGCCCAAGAGCTTTCATCAACGTGGTCTTTGAGCAAGACAAGCCTCGCAGCATTGGTTGTTGGAATGGCATCATCCATCTGCGAAGCAACACGTTGGACGACCTCCGCAACGAGATGGACTGGATTTTCAGCCAGAATGAGCGGTATGCACGTAACTCGATCGAATTTTCGAGGAACGAGAGCAGCAAACACCTTGCTCGCAATGCCGCTCGCTATGCCGAGACAAGTGCTCCCGCCGCCCGCGAGGGTGAGCGTTGGAGCCAAGGCAGCTGGCAGAATTGGTCCGGATGGAGCGGATGGGGCAACAGTAGCGGCAGCTATTCGACTTGGCAGTGGCGCTGAAAGCGCAACTGTCATGGTTTGCATGTAACAATGGTTCCCCTGACCTTCTCCCTCTGTTGTGTTACTGTTTGGCTGCTTTGTGAAAGGCCCCTTTAACACGCAGAGGGGGGTGAAGAATTTGATCGGTCAGTATGGGGTTTTACATCCATTGCATCCGCAGTGTGGCTGTTCAAGCGTAAAATGTGCGAGCAGCGCACTTGGACGGTTTGTTGTTTCCTTTTGGGCCCCAAACCGGTAACCCTTGAATCTATACTTTCGGGCCAACATGGTTATACAGGTGTATATCAAACAACAAAAGCAAGTCTTTCAAAAACAAAAAAGAAGGACCATGACACCAGGTAGCTCAGCTTACTATGACCAACGTCCCTTCGTCAGAGGCGCTGAACCGCTGAACCGCTGAACCGCTTCGGACGAGTCCCGGGACTTTGGCCGAGGCATTGCTGAACCTAAGCGTGGACGAGGACTCCAAGGCAAGGCCTGGATAGAGCCTGGCCCGGATCCACATGTCTTCCCCAGAAAAGAGGCTCTTTTTTTTGTGCTTTTTTGGGGTCCCTTGGTTTTCCACTAACCAGGCAAATATATATTTTTTGCTGGGGTCCTAATTCCAGCCAAGATGTTGAATTGGATTAGCTTGGATGTTTGAACGTAGAGGATTCGCTTGAAGCTTAGACCAACATAGTATAGACCCAACATGTAGCTTGGAATTGGAGTAGCTACATAACCTATATGTTGGCGTAGCTTGGGATTGGTGTGGCTTGGGTTGGTGTAGATTGGAGGTTATACCAACCTAGACCCAACTTGTAGCTTGGAATTTGTGTAGCTACATCAAGTAGGTTGTAGCTTGGGAATCGTGTAGCTACATAACCTACATGTGGGGTTGCCGGGTGGGGTTTGCCCGGACCGAGTGACGGCCACTCTTGGGCATGAGTTGGGAATTGTGCAAATCCAATGCGAATAGCAGCGAACCGTGGCTTCGGTGGGATCACAGCAAAGTCTGCGAATGCCCAACTTCGCGTATTCGAATCTCAGATTCGAATACGCGGTGCTGGCAGGCGCAGCATTCTCATTTGCTCGAAGCAGGCTCCAGGACTGGCTTCAGGATGCCACCAGCACTTGCATGCAGCCGCCCAGGCCGGGCTGCCTTAGATATGCGAAGCGCACAAGTCATGAGCTGCGCTGATAACTTGCTGGCAGACTTCCGTTCCTGCTCGGTACCAAGAGCGCAGCGCAGACAAAGAAAGACCAACATACGGGAAGGTAGCTCCTCCAAACGCAAGAAGACCCCAAGCCCTCCTAGACACCAGGTGTCTAAAACCACCTGCGGCAAAGTGGCAGCGTGTCAGATAAGCAAATGGGACTGCGCAGTCGCGCAGAGCGCGCAGATAGCAGAGAAGTCACATGGCGTGTGGAGAATTGCTGGAAACATGGACCCGTGTTCTTTCCATCCCCCCCTCCCCGTTCCTCCTTTCCCCCATTTCGACAGGCGCGAACACGCTGAGGATCGGCATGCGCGGGGCAGCATGAAAGTCCGGGCAATCCCCCCCGTCAACCCTACATGTTGTAGCTTGGAATCGGTGTAGCTTGGAGTTGGTGTAGCAGTCTTTTAATTCCCATCCGAGGTTCCTCTTTGCTTTTGGTGGGTGTAGCTTGGTATTCTTGCGATCGGTGCGAGATGCAGTGATGCAGGGTCCTTGAGTACTGGAACCTTGAGACAAAGCATCCATGTCCTATGGTTTTCTTGACGGGGATCCCTAGGTTCTTCCCAACACCCGGACTCGGTCATTTCCTACCTGTCGCACCAGCCAGCATGCCATAATATGGGTGTAGCAGTCCAATTCCTTTCCAAGAAATACCAGACTTGGAACCCTTTACTAGGTCTCCCAGTAGTGCCCTTTTACCCTCTTTTGGGAGAGGGTTCCCCTACTAAAATACACTACAGAAAAAGAGCACCCTTATTCTAACCTCTCTACTGGAGGAGCTAGAAGAGTCCCTTGGAACCATTTACCCCTTCGAGGTCTCGCATCTTTCATCTTTTAGCTTCCAACCTGGGCGTGTCTAGTCCATGTCCGGGGCTCCTTTTGGCTTCCCCAAATATCAACCTGCGTGTGTCTGGGGTCATATTTTTGATGGGTTCCGGGGTTGTTTCCCTGACCCAGCACTTAGGGGGTGACTTTGACCATGGTAAAATCATGAGGCCAGTGTGTCTCTTTTCAGTGGACCCCAACAAACTATGCTTGTCCTTTTCCCCTTGCCACCACAAAAAGGGAACCAACCAAAACAAAAATGACAGATACCCCAAATAGGGAAGCTAAGAGGAGCCCGTCCAAGCAAAAGCTCACCCATGAACTCGAAAACGGAGCTTCATCACTCCGATTTCCTTTTGCCGGGGAAGACGAGTCATAGGATACCCCCGTAAGCGAGCTTGGATTCTCGCAGATTCATAGGATCAGAGTGAGGAATGTCCGTGATACGCGACCACTGTACGTTCGTCATGATGGAGCTGTGGTCGAAGATGTTGAAGCTATACGGCGCAAGTGGGACAGCGAATTCTACCGCATGTGTTCTATCGAATTGTTGGCGAAGTTGGTGTGCATGATTGCCCAATTGCTATCTTGCTATTGGCGCTTTGCTTGCTTCCCTTTAGCCGCGCACCGGTCAAGGGTGTCAATCTGAGCTGAGGCGAGAGGTTTATCACTGGTTTCTATCCAGATTGCAAGAGTCTGCCCGATTATTTTTGTTTTTTGGGGAAGGGTTCCCCTCAAAACCTCGGCCAACCAAAAAGGAAGGCCCTTGTGGTCCCATTGACATCTGGCATCTGAGACTTGGTAGTTGATTTGCTCCCATTTGTTTTATTAAGAATATATGTTTGTTTTGCCGCCGTTGGTTTTCAACGGAATCGATTTGACTGCAGGACTAGTATATATACCGTATATATATATATGTATATTAATATATATATATATATGTACATATATATATATATGCGCATGCGTTTTCCCGGGCGCAAACGCAAATGGACCCCGCCGTACTTCGCATCTCGCTCGCGCACGTGAGTCAGCGCTCGATCAACGCCAGGCGGAGGTGTGCAAGCAGCAGCTCGGCGCACACATCGCAAGGTTTGCCTTGGCAGGGCCGTGTTTCAATGCGACACACAAAATGGGCCGTGGTTGGTCAAAAGCCCCCAGAATTACCCATCATCCAGTTGCTGAAATGAAGAGTTTATATTTTTCCCTGTTGGTTTTTAGAGGGAATCTATGACTATTGTTTCTTTCCAGGGGGCTGAAGCAAATGGCAGCCATTTTCCTGCGAATCGTGGTTTGGGAGACACAAGTGACGAGGGTAGTGAAAAGCGTCGCTTCCATGGACCCAGATTGAGACCGATGGCCTGCGTCTCTGAGTGCTATGTGTCGCGGTGTGGGTACCAAAAGCAGGTAGGTTCTTTTGTAGCTCTGTAAAGAGTTGGTTTCTGAGTCTGTTTCTCAATTAGTCGGTACCACAGCTTGTTCCAAAAAGTCGTCTAATTGTTCCTTGCTCAGGTTTTTGTTGGGCGTCTTGTGTCTTGTTTCCTGTTTGTTTCTTGCTTGCCGTGCTTGGCTTCTGTTGTTTCTTGTCAAGGTTTGTTGGTTCCTTTGGTTGGTTCGGTTGGTTTCGTTGGCAAAGCACGTTTCTTGGCTCTTGAGCCACCCCCGAAAAGCCTTTGAGCTTTTGAGCTTTTGACTTGGTTTGGTCGTTTCCACGGAACCCACGAAAAGTGAGTCACTTTTCGCAGGTCAGAAAAGGGGCAGCCCAGGTTTCGTTCCTCCGGCTCCTTTCGGTTGCTTCGGTTGATCTGAGGGGCGGCCTGCCACGTCTCAAGCAGCTGCTGGCGAATGGAACGGATCAGCTCCGGCAGGCGATACGGCGGGCGGGTCTGAAAAACACGAGACCACCTGATCTTGGTGGCTCCCAGCCATCCGGTTCCTTGGCCTTTTAGTCTTCTTTGGCGCATTTTGCCAAGGGATGTTAGGACTTTAGCTTGTTGCCAACTTATGGGTTTTTTTCATGAAACCACTCAAAGTTATTCACTTTTAGCAGGGGAGCAGAAAGCAACCGAGTTGTTCAGTGCTTAGTGAGGTAGTTTCCAGTTAACCCACCAAAGTTTCAACTTTTAGCGGGGGGTTTACGGGCAGCCCAGTGATTGGACGGCTCGGGGAAACCAACAGGGAGTCGTTGGCGGTACCCATTTTGCCCTGAAAGGGACAAGGGAAACCAACCATGTGGGTGTGGCTCAAAATTAAACAGGGGGGGTTACGCAGGTTTTGGTCCATGTTTCCACTTACCAGGTCCCCATTTTGGTACCGATTTTTTGAGCCACAGCCATTTGTTCCCTATTTTGAAACAACCCCGAACATGGATCTAAGAAACGGGTTCCGATCGCCAAGGACAAGTGTAAAGTCCGAAAGGTTGCCATTTGAGTGCGAACACCTAGTTGTTTGGTAATTCGGGGGACACCAAAGCTGGAATCCCACACTTTTGGGAGCCTTTTTCCTGCCAGTGGGTACCTGGGGTTGGTTGGGTCATACGGTCGGGCCCGGCTGATCAGTGTCATGGCAAGCTGAGATCATCTCCCGCGGACGTGCGCCTGGGAGGCTGCATCAGGACAGCCCTTTTTTTTTCTGATACAATCGGGGACCTCCCTTTTCTTTTGGCCCGCTCCAGGAGAATCCAACAGAAAATCCAACCATTTCTTCACTGATCTCGGCAAGTATTTTTTGTTGTTCTGTTCATTTTGAGTAGGGGGTTGAAAAATACATTTTTGCTATCATACCAAGGGTTGCGAAGATTTCTAGAGGACCCCATTTTGAGAAACACCAGTGGTTGCGACATGAGGTTCCTCAGCCGGTGTCTAGCCAAAAAACTGCGGCAGAATCCTTGAGCAGTCCGCACCAAGCAGTCCGCACACGAACTGTGACCAGGCTTCCATTTTGTGGCAAGGCTACCCCTTTTGGGACTGAACCTCAGGGTATTTACAAAGCAAATCAAGAACCGGATCCGAAATATGGGGGCACTTGGACTCTTAGGGGGGAAGTCAAGCAAGTCCTTCGACCTCTTTTGTTCGGCCAATCCACTCGATTGGTGAGCCGGCTTTTTGGCAACCCGCCAGGTGGTCGCCATGATCTTTGGCAACCTTGCCTCCCAGGTCGGCGATGTTAGAGGTATCCGTCCCTTGTTATGAGAGGAAATGTTAGTCTCCCAAAAAGGGCGGAGTATGATTGGCCATGTTTTTTTCCAATAGGGCACCCCTTTTTGTGACTTGAGGTAGGTGGTCAGCAAATTTGGGTGTTTTTTTTGGAAGAAGTGCCCAGTTGTTGGCTTTCTTCCCAAGCGATGTGGTTACGGCTTCTATCTGCAAGCACTCCCTTGGCCCCCTTGGCCTGGGGGCCGCGGTGTTTGGTTGCGGCTTCGGCGTTGCATCGGCGCTTTCGCCTGAGGAGGGAGAGCCGCCAGTCTTTGAAAATGGACACCTTGCGTGCGGGGAAGCAAAAACAAAACATGTGGAAGCCGACCGCACAGCACGGAATTGCATAATTTGCACGGGGAGTCGAACCTCTACTCACGCCCTGAGTTCCTGGACTTTATACTTGGGAAGACCATCTCAGTGGTAGTTCAACAGTTTGTTTACCTTGTTTGGCCAATCCGCTCAAAAGGTAAGTCTACGACACCAGCCCGCGAAGTCTAGGACCCAGCTGGTGTCAGCCTTTTGGCAGCAGACATCATCTCAAACTCCGTAGCCTTGGATATAGAATCAGCGGCTGGGTCAAAATGCCCAGTCTTGAGCATGTGCGGCTTTTCCCATGTGGGCGTGGGTCAAAATTAAACCACCAGGGGACCGCAGGTTTTAGTCCATGTTTCCATTTACCAGGATTCCATTTTGGGTACATATTTTGGACCCACAGCCATGTGGTTGAACACACCGTTTTCCAAGCAATGGTCGTTCACTCGTGTCAGGAAGTAGGTCTTGACATGTGTTTGCAAGGCAAGTGAGTTCCAAGTTTTCGGCTTGAAACCTGCCTGTCGATCAATCCCCGGTTCCCTCTGGCTGTCGAGTTTGAGAAGCCAGCAAGCGTGTTGCAATGTACCCACAGGAGGAGTGTGCCCGAATGATGACGGAGAGCAGCTGTGATTTGGCACGGGCCCTCAGTTGGCCTCAAGGAAGTCGCAAGCCTTGGATCATGATGGCATGATGGCACGAAAGCCGACTGACACAGAGCAGTCCCGGTTGCTTGTAGCTTTGGTTTTAATCAGGTTCCTGGTTCCAGTTCAATTGGGAAGGGACCAAAAGTAGAAGGACGGGGACTGAAGGGGCTCTAGATGAATTTGGGGGCTTATCCAGACCTTGTCGACTTTCAAGGGGGGGGCCCTTGACACATCAGGGGTGACTCATTAGTCAGTGCTTCCACCGTGGTTCGGGGTCTTGCGAAAAGCTTGGGCAAGCTGTGACTGCTTGGAACCGGTGAATTGCAAGGCTCCCATTTGCCTTTTTGGAACCAGAGGTAGTTTCACTGGGCAGTCACCCCTGAAGTGCGCATGGCATGGTGAACAAAAGTGGTGTTTAGGCGCAGGGGGACCAAGGTGGTGTTTAGGCCCAGAAGGGGAGAAGGTGAATTCCATCCTATGGTTTCCTAGGTCCCTCAGTAGTGCCCTTTTATCCTTTTTTGGGGGAGGGTTCCCCTACTAAAATTAAGACGTCCTGACAAAAGAAACGGTACCAACTTATTCTAACCTCTCAAATCTGGACCTAGGTTTCCTTTATTCGGGAATCCCCAGGTTCATTCCCTCATTCCCTGCCTCGACCCGGGTCCATGGCCTGACCTCGACGAAGCCGAGGCGCTTCTGCGTTGCCCGGAGCCCGGCTGGCAGAACGCTCGACAGCTTGGCCCTGCCGAAACTTGCGCAAGGGCTGAAACAAAAAAAGACACAACATGTGGCTTGAACGGATACCACGCCTTGAAGTAAAGCAAAACAAAACAATAGAACGTGAGAGCTGAAAACCGACAACCAGCTTACGTAACAGCCTAAACAAAAAAAACATTTAAAACACACACACAAATGTTGTTTGAACAGAAATCTGTCACTGGAAACAAAACACAAAACAAGCCGCTGGTTTGTACGGAAATCGTTTTCACTACTGGACATGTTTTGCCCATTTCTTCCAGACTGAAGTAGAAGTCCTGAGAACCCGAGCCACACCCCAAGCCTTGAAGTGATCGGGACAGCACCAAAGATACATGCGGCAAGCCCAAGGTTTGGAGCCCTGGACTTGAGGCGTGATCTTTCCCTGACTCCTCGCCCAAACATTGGACCCGCGGATTCCCATCTTGGACATCCTTGGAGGGCTTTCTGAGATTCCCATCATGTCGCAGACAAATGGAAGAGCTGCCACAGATTTCCTTGTGCGGATCTTTGGCGAAGGAACAACTCACGGAGAGGCGATCTCAGGGTTGCAACCCGCAGCAATTGGTCCGCAATCAGACTGCAAAGTTTGTTTGGTGGCGCCTGGCTTGCCATGCTACCCCCCCCCCCCCCCCCCCCCGTTCACCTTTGGAAAAGAGCTTCTCAGAAGGCAAGGACACCACTTGGCGTTGTGCGTTGCGTTCATGTTGGTGTTCAGTTAACCCAAATGTCCCCGCCGAGTGGGCGGCACACATGCAGCATTAGTCAATAGTCCCGGTCCAGGTCCAAAGGATGCCGTGCAACGCTTTTTCTACACTGAGACCCAGAGATCCCGGACATGTCCAAGTTGCACCCCGAAAATCTGCGTTTGTTCTTTGGGGCTTGACTTAGACATCATCTAAAAGCGGTCCGCTATTGAAGGACATTGCCAAAGGGCAATCAAGCCCTACTGAACGCTACATATGTCTTGTGGATGACCCGTCCTTGCGGTTTATGTTTCCATAACCGTGCCCAAATGAGGTGTTTTCCGAAGCAAGTTTCCCGACGTGCGACACAGATTGGCAGACGACGCAAAGGTTTTGCCACCCTTGGCCCATGTTGGGGTGCTGGTAACTTCTTGCCTGTGCAGCCTGTTACGTTATACCTAGGTCCCCCAGTGTTCCCCTTTTACCCTGTTTTGGGGCAGGGTTCCCCTAAAATAGACTACATAAAAAAAAGTGGGTGCCCTTATTCTCGCCTCTCTACTGGAGGACCGAGTTATAACAAGGTCAGTCTAACGGGGCTTGACATACGCATTTGAGACGTCATCATTGCCTCACAGGCACGTCTAGCTGTTTCGCGGAGTGAGGTCTGACAGCTGGGGACCTGGTGGCAGAGAAGGCATGGTTCTGATGCTACCTTCCAACCATTTTTCTAGGGATCCGAATCTTTCTAGAAAACCCCCGGAATCCCAGGGAAACGGATCCGGTTTTTGAAAAGAACGATGGTTGAAAAGAATGGGGAATCAACCGTTAGAATGGTTGCTTTATGGTTTGGCAGAACTCATTTTTTTTTATAGAAAAATGGACCTTGACAGAGTTCCCCCATTCCTCACTTAGGAAGCTCTAGGTCCCCCCAGTTGTTGCCCCGTTTTAACCCAACGTTTTTTGGGGGGAGGGTTCCCCTACTAAAACTAAGACGTCCTGAAAAAGTGAGTACCCTTATTCTGACCTCTCAAATCTGGAGGACCGAGTTATTATCGTTCGGATAGACTTGCCCCCTGAAGATGTGCGGCGAGTGCATAAAGTGCAGGATAACATGTTGGACGCGAGTTGCCGAACCAGAGAGATTGGTCCCAAACGTCAAACTCGGGGGTGTTCACGATTGTCCTCTTGGTTTGACGGATGCCTCCCGTGTTGTTGTGTTGTTTGCGTCTTTGTCCTTGTTATTCCTTGGTACTGAAGGTGGGTTCTCACTAAAATCATGACAACCAGGAGTTTCAATTTCTGAGCTACCTTTGTTTTCTCACTTGCAACCTCACTTCCTGAGTTCATGGGCTTTAGTCACTTTTTGGGCTTGGGCCATTTCAGTGGCAACGGACAAGTTAGGATTTGTTTTTTTCTGGCCAGTCCACCATCCCCCTAAATCCACTCCGTGAGTTCCTAGACTACCATGGCACCTCCTCCCACATGTGCTGCTGTTTCGCCACCGTTCAGAAACCCTGGAATGATTCGATTCCCCCTTTAATTGCCCACAAACGTTATGTTCCACCATGGCTTCATTTCGCAGTGCGAACGAACTGATGTCGCATCCATGCACAGGTTTGGTTAGTGGAAGGGAGGCTACCTTGCCTTCGGTTAGTGGAAGGAATGCTACCTTTTCACCATGCTTTTCACGGTAAGTTATGTAACTTATGTATAAGGTGGGTTCCATGCCAAGCCAGGGCTGTCTGGAAAATCTTGATTGGTATACCCTTCCTTTGTCGCTTGCAACCTCACTTCCTAAGTTCTCAGACGTTCGAGTGCGGCTTTTCGATTTTGCGTTCAGCTGCAAACCAAAGTTTCCGGAGGGCTCCTCCAACCGAACCCTTGGACTTGAATTTGCTGAAATGAATACGTTTTCTTTTCCCTTGTTGGTTCTATTTTTGTTTAAATCACTACTGGAAATATGTTTTTTTTTTTTTTTTATTATTTTAATCATTGGTTCTAAAAGGATATTGTTTTTTTCACTACTGGAAATATTGTATTTTTGCCCAGGGGTCTTACCCAGATGTAAGTGGCACCTGCGTTTCGGGTGGGTTGGCTCGCGTTCCAGGCCGCCGAGGCGCTCTTGCAGATGGCCGCCCATCCGAGCTGCCGCGCCATCTTGCGCCAGGACTCGCTCGCTCGGATTCCGGGAGACTCGGGCGCGGGGCCAATTGGCGTCCTTATCCCAGGGGTTGGGTTGGGGGTTGGGTGGGGGGGTGGGGTCCCCCAGCTAGGTGCCATTTTTGCCCAACTTCTTTGGTTGGGAGGGTTCCCCTAAAAAAGACTTCCGAAAAAGGCTGGTATGATTCTAACCTCTCTACTGGAGGCCCTAGGCTATGACTGTTCTCGAAGAACCACCTGCAAAGTGACTGGTGGACATGAATCCTACCAACTTCTTGGCTCCCTTCCAACCACCAGCTAGCAACATGGGGCTCCCTGCTTTTTTTTGAACTCCCCCCATAATTGGTTTTCATGTTGTGACTGCCAGGTTTTCATTGTGACTCATGTGACTTGAACATTGACTTCATTTCAGGGTCCACGTAAAGCTCCAATGAAGGGTTTCTGAGTGTACGCCCTTTTAGCTGTGACTGGAAAGACAGCGGAAGCGGGAGGCCAGCCGGTCCGTCACCTGTTCATATCGAGCGAGCTCGCCGGGCCGGGAAATTGGGTGGGGGGAGGGGGTGAGCGAGCTCACCCAGGAAGGTTGCTTGCAATAGGAAAATTGTCGGTGGATGAATGTTGGTGGCGGAGGTGGGTTTCCATTTTGCTGGGGCATTCTTTGTGTGGGTCAAAAGCCCGGTTAGCCCCCAGTGAACCTCCGATTCAATCCCCACTAGAATAGGTTCTAAAATGGGTGGTACACCTACCCCAAAATGGTCCATTGGTTTTGGCCCACAGCCAACTGGGTGTGAGTCACGCAACTCTTACTTCCATTTGCTTTGGCTTTTTAAGGGAATCGATTTCACTACTGGACATGTTGTCATTTTTTCCAGGGGGCTGGAGCAAATGGACGCCGTAGTTGGTTTGGAGCTCGGTGGCTTGGATTTGGAGTTGAACCCTTGGTTCTTGTGGCGGGCAAATGGGACACCACGCCCCAACCACCGGGCTCCAAGCCACCGGGCTCCGAGGGAAGCTGTGTGGTCCCTTCCACGCTGACTTGGAAAGCGGTATGGGTCATGACTGGTAGAACCGCCCCATCGGGACCGGCCCGTTCCATGTGCCAAATGAAGCAACGCCACGGAAGTTCCGGTCAGCGCACATGAAGGATCAAAGAGTGCGTTTTGAGAAGGGCCTGAAGAGAGGAGGTGCCCGGTAGGCGTTTTAAGGTTGGACAGGCAACATGGTGATTTCCCGTTGGCTTCCCTTTTCAAGAACCCCAACAAAAAACACGGCCCAAGTTGGCTTACAAGTTAATGTTGACCCAGGATGAATAAACCCGTCCCACTATTAGGGGGGTGTTCCCTCCAAGAGTGGTCCGAATCCAACCACTAAAAGGTGGACAAAATCAACCAGGGGTTCAGCTTAATCCGAGGTTAACATAACGGCCCACAGAAGAGCCCCACCCACTTTTTTTCGCCAGGAGGAGAGGCTTCGGCTCCTCTTCGCCGCCTTCCATGGACCGGCGGTGGTGGCGCCATGTGTCTTCCGGCAGGTTTGACACGAGCTTTGCACTGCGAGTTCCCAGCCATCTGGTTCCTTAGGTGTTTCTAGGGTTTTGGGGGTTTAGTGGGCCAGCCATCTGGCTCCTTGGTGTCTTTAGTTCGGCGTTTGGTTGGCTCAGTGCTTTGGTTTCCATGTAACCCATTAAACCTTTAGCCCTAGATCTGAAAATGGACAGCCCAGAAGAGGAAGCCCATCTCAGTGATTCAATTACCCAAAGAGAAGGATTAATACACAAGTCTTCATTAGGAATTGCCCTATTTGCTCTCTCCCTGAGTTCCAGGACTTCAGACTTGGGAAGGTGAGTTTAGTGGTAAAGAAACAGCTCAGACTTTTTCTGGCCAATCCACTCGGGAAGTCAGAAGGAATTTCTCACTTTTGAGGAAGACTCTCTATTCATTGGCCAGGTTTTTCTTAGTCCGAAGTCGGTATTGCAGTGCTTTGAGCTGTTTCGCATTCCGATTTCCCTGTTCATTCAACCAATCCTAAATATGGGGCTATGCCCCGCGAACAGTGGATTTGGTTAAACATCTGGATCAACCACTACTGAAACACCATGAACCAGTCCAATTCAAATTGTGATGACTGTTACCCTCCCACTAAGAGTCATGGAAGCTGCCAGAAGGGTTTTGGACAACTACTTTGGACTACGTGGGCACAACCTCCGAATGCGCCGGCAGAACATTTGGGCTCGCGGCACCGAGCGCCGTGTTTGCTCCGAAGGCATGGGCGGCACGCAGGCGCGGCTCATGCCACTCGGCCAAGTGGAGCGGGAGAATGTCTGCGTGCTGCCACTCGACGTTCGGTAAACGTCTTCGCATGCCGTTGCTCCGCGACCAACGCGGCGATTCATCGAGGAAGTCGACTGAACCGTTGGCAGCTGCCGGTCTTGGCCGCAAACTTGGGAATGGTGTTTTTGGAGCGGAAGCTTTTCTGATTCCGAAAAATACCCGGAGCATGTGCAAAGTGTTTCATGCAGTTGTGTGATATTCGTTGCTTCTGGGAACTCCGCTCTGATGGGCAATAGTCAAAATCGCTTTGATTTGGGCCGTTGCGCATGAGTTCTTTGTCAGCGCTTTTCATGTGCCAGAGTTCGCCCCGCCCCTTTTCGTTTTCGCAATGATTTTGACCGTTTTGGAAGCTGTCAAAGTCAGAAACTGGAATTGGTGGCTTCCCTTCAACCTGCCACTTGAAAGGTGACTTTTCTTGGTAGAATCATGGGGTCAGTCACTTTGATCCTTCTCAGAGGTTTTTTTTCTGTTTTTTTCACCCTTCCCCAGACTAACCTTGATGGCTCTAGCCACCCCCTTGGCTTTTTAGTTGGTTCAGTGGTAGTTTCCATTTACCCCACAAGTTAACTAAACTTTGAGCGGGGGATCAGAAACGGGCAGGCCTTCTGATCGGATTTCTGGGAAAGACATGGCACGCCAGGCCTTCGCATGGTGCAGTTGCTGGCGCAGGAGGCGCCGGGACGCCGCGCCGCCGGCCAAGGCGCGGTCCGAAAAAAACCGACTTCGTGGGCAAAATGTGTGGCTTGGCTGAGAACAACTTTTTTGGCTGGGAGGGTTCTTTACTAAAATAGACGACAGAAAAAAGTGGGTGCCCTTATTCTAACCTTTCAACTGGAGGACCTAGGAAAAGGTGGGCAGCTTCTGGGGGAAGACTAAGGTTTCCCAGCCGTTCCCTCCTTAAAGCAGGAGTTATGTTGGAAATCACGGGCAAATTGGCAAAAGTTTGAAGATGTCAGTGACCCCTGGCCAGTACCAACGGTTCCTTTTGGACCATGAAGAGCTTAAGTGCGGGCACTGCTTTGGGGGAGGGCTTTGACGGATCCAAACCTAGTAAGGCTGGTGGTTGGGGTTATGTCCTTGGTCCCCCCCCCCGAACCCCGGGTCCCCGATTCACAACTGGCGAGGGGGGTTGTCAAGCAGGGGTCAATTGCTTGCTTGCTGGCTGGCTGGCTGGCTCGCTCGCTCGCTGGCTTGCTGGCTTGCTCGCTCGCTCGCTCGCTGGCTTGCTTGCTCGCTTGCTTGCTCGCTCGCCTGCTTGCTTGCTCGCTGGCTCGCTGGCTCGCTCGCTCGCTCGCTTGCTTGCTTGCTTGCTGGCTCGCTCGCTTGCTCGCTCGCTCGCTGGCTTGCTTGCTTGCTGGCTTGCTTGCTTGCTCGCTTGCTTGCTGGCTCGCTCGCTGGCTTGCTGGCTGGCTCGCTTGCTCGCTCGCTCGCTTGCTTGCTTGCTGGCTGGCTTGCTTGCTTGCTTGCTCGCTCGCTCGCTGGCTGGCTGGCTGGCTGGCTTGCTCGCTCGCTCGCTCGCTGGCTGGCTGGCTTGCTTGCTTGCTTGCTCGGTTGCTTTGCTTGCTCGCTGGCTCGATTGCTTGCTTTGCAATTCGCCTGTCCTGGCAGCCCAATGCCGCCGTTTTGCCTTGGGCCACGGTCTGGGGCCCGAGCACGTGACCCTCCAAATACGGTGGATGTTCGATTATTGCAAGTAAAGCCAACTACAAGCCCGTGATGAAACACAGATAGCTAGACGGTTCCCCTTTTTACACTGCAATATTTAGAGCATCTAGCGCATCTCAGCCCGAAAAATACGCATGCATGACTGTATTTTCTCAGGCACAGACACACACACACACACACACATGAGCATGGCTGGGGTCTTCTCCAATTTTGTGCTTTTTGAGCAGACCAAATGGAACAGAAGCTCAAGATTTTGTTTGTGCAGTTCAGGTGGATTCTTTTCCTTGGAAGATACCGGTTGCGCCTGTCTCTGCACGCAATTTGCCAGCGCTGCCCTGGATCCTGGCATCCCTGCGGGATTGCTGTGCGGAGGAGGCCCAGTGGAGCACCGCTTGACGAACTGTCATTACTTTGTGGGTTGCTTAGGGCAAGCAAGGGCACCAAACATTTTTGAGCCCTAAACCCACGTGTGAGGTTTTCACCCAGTTTCTATTTGGGTGTGTCCTTTTGTGGACACTCAAAATCGACACTCTGATTTGAGCCTGTATCCCTAAGTTGCAAGAAGCCAAAGTCAACGGGTTCTGCGGTTGCAGAGGAAATTCCAGGCCCCCTGCTTGGATTCTGTCGAGCGCGGTCCCACCAGCAAAAGGATGGCCTATTTTCCCACGAGGAACCACGGGGGCAAATATATGCGAACAGCCTTTCTGAGTGGCTTAGAGGCAGGATACTACTTGTCAACTGGAATGAGAACCCAGCAATACAGTATATTACGTGTACATGAGCACGTAACTATATAACGATACGATAACATATAGTGTGTGTGTATGTATTAGAACAATATGTGTGTATATATATACGCATATATGGGAGTTGCTCAGAAGGTCCTTGTAAGGACCTGTCTCGTGGAGGATAGCGCGGCAGGCGTGTGTGCGAAAGATCCGCGAGGGAGTCTGCGAAAGAGACTTTGTTCCAGACAGAAACTTTTAGGAAGCACTTTTTAGACAGGGGGATGCTGATTCCCTGCCTGTGCTGGGCCCAAAATGTTGGCTCACGGTACCACACACCAAACGGATGTTGCGATTCAAGCCACAGCTTGAAGTGCCTGGTGAAAAACCCCTCCGTCATGTTTTGAGGGAACAGTCAGTGGCGTTTCCCGTAAGCTTGGTTTCTCTCCAGAACTATGCCAAAACAAGGGTACCTGGGTGTTCGGCCAAGTTGGTAAGTTGTCGGTAAACTAGGTGATTACCCATTTATAAGTCCCCCTACGTTGGCTTAACCTTGTCAGAAGGTCTTAGACCTTTAGCTGACCGTGGCGTTTTTGACATTGCATGCAAGTTCTTGTAGGAAGCAATGGCATCGTTCAGGGACAAAATCAATACCGCAAAGCTAAACCACTTTGACACAACTTAAGACAGCTTTTCCATGGTAGAATGTGAGCAGCACTTTAGCGCTTGACATGCCATCTCCTCGCCGGGGGAAAGGTCTATTAGGTTTGTTCCGCAATTGGCAGATGAACGAAACACCCAATGGCTTGTGAAGAGTGGCCACGCAAGAGGCCAAATCCGGTTGTACTGGACGTTTTACTTTACATACTGTCAGAAAGCAAAAGACACACGATGTGCCTTTTTCCGCCAAGTCACGAATGATGCTTGGGCAAAGTTACCAACGCATATCAAGCAAGTGTTTGGCCAATTGCCTGCCGCATTGGGCCGCGGTTCCGCGTGTGTGAAAAACAGCACAGGACTGCGTCGGGGTTGCGGTTGGTCGGTGAACGGAAATGGCCCAACCCCCCCCTCCCTCCCCAGCCCTCCCAAAAGAGAAATGTCTCAGGTGAATAAACGCATTTTGACTGGCGGTCGATTAAGGGTCTCTCACCTACAAAGGGGTCAATCCCTAAATGGCTAACCACTTAACGCGGCGCTTCCAAGCATTTTGGCGCAAGAACGCTTTTAACCTGGTTGACCCTGCCAGTAGATGCAAACATCTCACAGACTGAGCCTGGTGGTTTGCTTTCAATAGCTGAGTAGGCCGCCGCCGCAGCCTGGAACTTGAGCATGGAGGACCAATCTCGGCTCTGAGGGTCTGGCGGTTTGGTTCCCAGGTCAAGGGTACCTTGGGTTGCAAACCCCCCAAGTGATGAAATGGGGTGGTTCAACCCCTTTGTTTCTCCACCTTCCCCATAATTGGTAGTTTGGTTTGGTGGGTTGGACGTTAAGGGGTACATTTTGTTCATTTGGATTGAAGAGGCACTGGGTTTCAAACCCCGTACTGGGTTTCAAACCCCCTAATCAAATTGGCACCGGCTCCCCAGGAGTTGATGGAGTTGATGGTATGGATGTTAGTGGGGGGAGCTGGGGCGCAGATATTCTGATACAAAAAGGCAAACGGGATGCTGTCAAGTTGGGATTAAGGCGAATGGCAGTCATGGATCTACCGTTCCTATCCAGCCCGGCGTGACCACTATGTTCTGCTTTAAGAACTTGGTGAGACATAACTTATACTCAGGACTTTGTGGCTGGATGGCCATGATCCCCTTCTTCTCTCGGACTTTCGCATTTCAATGCCCACCCTTCTGGAGTTTCTGTGGAAGCCACATGGCTAGGTGTCAAACCTGGGGACACCCTGTGTGGGTCTAGTTGAAGAGGAAGCTGGCACGTTCGCATTGGACCAAGAAGTTGACAGGACAACAAGGAGGAATCCAACTGTCAAACAATGCCAGTCTGATCATTAGGAGCTTGCAGCAGTGGAATTCCGTCCTCCCATCAAGGTATGTCCAAAGATGGTGGGAGACCCGGAAAAAAAGATAGTGTCCTTGTTGTTTCTCTTCAATAAGGCAAAGGGGGTAAAAAAAGGGGTGCGCAACTTCTATTACATGAAGAGACAAGTGAATAGTCTCAGAATCATGAACCTCCTTGGATCCCTCACAAAACGAGGCGGCCTTTGGAGCGGGCTGCAGAAAGGGGCTCTACCCGACCAGTGCTGTGCTCTGGTGCCCTGCGCCGAATTCATCGGCATCTCGGGCGGTACGAGCGGCGGGAGCGCCCCTCTGCGGGCAGATCAGAACACCATCCCTTGTTCTGTCCGGCTCGAAGGTTCTCAAATCTTCCCTTGTTACGGAAAGGGTACGTAATTAGAATCTGGTTGTTGAGTGCTTTTCTGTTTGGTTTCCACCAAGGTCAATCCCCCCCCAATGCCAAAAGGGATTATTCTGTTTTCACAGGGTCCCAAAGCCCCCCAAACCCCCCGAACTCCACAAACCCCCAACCCCGCAACCCCCCAACCCGCCAGCCCCCCAATTTCCAGATAGTTCTCCGTGATATGGCGCGGTGTTTTCAAGCCAACCGCCCTTCATCTCCACCCCCGCCCCCAATTCCCGACACACCCCAACCTGCAAGAGGAGACCTTTGCATCGGAGCTCTGCCGACAAGGAGGCCGCGCTGGGCCTGACTTCCAAAAAGTGTTCTGTGGGTATCTCACTTCCAAAAAGTTCCGTTTTGGACTTTGCCAATTTAGTTGTAAACAACAAGCTTGGCTAGACTTGGACCTTTTTGGGCTTGGTTGCCATTTTAGTGGTAAACAACAAGCTTGGTGACTTTTTGTCGGCCAATCCACTCAGGAAGCGAGGAGGATAGCCCCTTATGTTCGGGGCCTTCCTTCCGAACATTTATGGAAAGTACTTCCTAACAGGACGGCCACTTACTTTTTTTGTTTGGAGGGTAATGGTTCCATGGGCCACGCTGAGGCTTCACTAATTTTCAACCAGTTCTTCGATGTTTTAATTCTTTGCTTCTCCTCATTTTTTGGTAGGCAAAAAGAAGCAAAAAAGGCAACAAGTTGGTCGCAAGGCCATACCAAGGGTTTTCCTGGACGCCACGAGGGAGACATGGCCACTCTCATTTCACTGGGCCGGTTGTGAGGGAAATCGAAAGGGTGAAAACTGGTTTATAGATTGAGAAGTTTCTTTGGCTCGCATTTTGCCAAGGGATGTTGGGACTTTATAACTTTTTGCCAACGGATGTGGGTTTTCCGTATCAAACCACTTAAAGTTCTTCACTTTTAGCAGGGGAGCAGAAAGCAACCGAGGTTTTGTTCATGTACCAGGGAAGCCCATGGAGTGTTTTCCAGTGCTGGGTCACCTACGGAGCTCGCTCCCCTTGGATTTGAAACACCCTGATTCGGAAAGACGCACTATCGCAACGATTCGCACGCTTCGGTGACTGAGTCGGCTACATCGATGAAAAGGGATGAGTGACGAGAGAAGTCTTTAAGGTGCATTGGCAGGCCGGATGTTCATTGGGTATCCCCCTTCTAGGGGATCCTTCACTCTAGGATGGATTGAACTTGCTTATGAATGCACCAGGCTGACAATTCTTATGATTTTCATCTGGAGAACGGTTTGGATGCGGCAAATCTGTGGAAGCACCCCTGTAGGATGCTAAAAGAGCACTAAAATATTACAAAGCAAGAATCAACAGGGGGAAGAACAGGTGAAATCCATAAAAGGCACATCCAATCCGTGTTCTAGATCTATTGAGCAATCAAATGGATACCTTCAAGAGCCCCCCCGTCTCACCTCCATTTAGGCCTGAAGTTGGGCATGGCGGTGTTTTGCCACCAGGTGTCAGTCTGCTGCTAGACGTGGCCATCAGCGGCTTGTCATGGAGTGGCCTCCGAAGCGACAAAAGTCCGATGTGTCCAAACATCCTTCTGGCCCCAGAATTTACCCAATTGTTACTTTTTTTCTTTGTTGGGGTTCCCTTTGTTTTCCACTACCGGGCAAACAAGATGTTGTTTTGCTGGGGTCCTAATTCCAGCCAAGTACCATTGCTTCCATTTGCTGAGATCAAAATGTGTTTATTTCTTCTGTTGATTTTAAAGGGAATCTATTTAGGTATAGAGTATAGGGCATATATTGTTTTCTCCCGGGGGCTTAAGCAAATGGAGGATTGAAGACAATGTTGACATAAAATGAAGCAACAAAACGGAGGGTGTCCTTTCAAATCGAAGGATTCTCATTGTGCGGTTGGCAGCTTTTGCAGGGTGCGAGGTCTTGAGACAAAGGCTGGATGATGGGTTTTGTGAACATTGACTCCTTTGCATCATGAATCAACCGGAAGACTGCAGAAAAAAATGCGGACAGAAAACCGGAAGTCTACAGGAAGACTAAAGTATGCAAAGAGCACAGGAAGACTACCGAAAGACTACAAGACTAGCGGAAGTTTACATGAAACAGAGACTACAAGACTACATTACCTGAAACCCTCAAAAACGCAGGCTTCCCTTTAAAACGAAGGATGCAGAGATATTCCAGTTTGGCGCATTACCATAATCGGCGCCGGTTTAATCGTAGTATAATTGTTGTTTGCTTGCACGTGTTTGTGTTGTACGTTTATTTCATAAACATGAGGGGCTCGACATGCCTGAGTGTTTGGTGTGAGTGACAAACTCTCGCATGGGCAGTGGAAACGTGAGTTTGCCTCTCAAATCCAAGTTCCTTTGTTCCCGGGTTTATACCGGGACCCCGCAAGAGGAACTCAGTTCGTTACCACACATGCATGCTCCATTTCATGCGCATGCTGTTCTGATGACTCACGCGCAAAAAGCTTCTGCAAGAGGGCGCTGCAGGATTGTTCTGGGCGAAATTCTCTCAACATCCAAACGGCGCTCCCCCAAACAAATTCGAAACGCCGCTCCAGTGGTGCCGCTTGCTGTTTTTTTTGTAGGGGGGCCTTCAAAATCAAGCAGCAAAAACGGTGCAAAGGCCACGAGGTTTGGGTTGATGCCCATTATCATTTTGACGGCCGCCAATCAATGTTTATATTTGCAACGGCTGGATGCAGACGCAGCAACCCTGCTTTGTGTTGCCCATAACGTGCAGTCACGGGTGGCTGGATTGTTTTTTTTGTTTGGCATGGTGGCAATCCAGGGGGAGGTTGCCGTGTTCTGTTCTTTCGCGAGCATGCGCACAACTGATGACACCATGCCGTGAAAAAGTTGGGCCAGGCGTCGGAAATACCAGCTTTACTTTGTGTGTACAGCTTAAGCTTTCAAAAGAAAGCACGAATGCAGCTGCCGGTAACAAACATGTGCTGGAATTTCCAGCTTCGGGAAGTGTTGCCCCGGGATATATAAACCCGTCCTACTATGAATCGGGGTGTGTTACCCTAAAGAGATGACTCCCCACTACACCTGGTGACAGCCACCAATGAATAAACTGGGGTGGATTGTGTTCCAAAGCTAACCTTATATTTGGCGACGCTATAATAGAAGATATTATCTTAATTCATTGTGGCCGGTATTCTTTTTGAAACGAATGATGCATAATGGCGCTGTTCCTTTCAAATGGAAGATCCCCCTTCTATAATAGAGTCACGGAATATATGTGTGGCAAGAGTACCCAACATGGCAATCATACCCTGGGTAAGTGAAGCTTAAGGGACCATGCCAACCATCAGTCGGTGCGGCTGCCTTTTTTTTACATGGTTCTGGGTTCACCATTTGTGTGGCGATCGGTTTTGATGATGACTCAGGTGTCCGATTTCTGAGTTGTTTTCGTTGAACATCATCCATTTGCTCAAGAACATGTTTTATTGTCCCTTGCTGGTTTTCAAGGGAATCGATTTCAGTACTGGACATTTTTTCTCCAGGGGGCGCAAGAGCAAATGGAAGACATAGATGGCCATGCCTGGTCAGATCGGCTTTTACTCATAACCCCGGGACCCAGGGCAATCCTAGGCACAGCTATGACGTTATATTGGCTCGTCTTTTGAGGCTCAAAAACCCGTTTTGGGGTTGGTTTTCTGGAACACCAACAAGAAAACCACCATTCTTCGCATTCGTTTTGTGGGGGGAGAAGTGACACACCTAAATTTGGTTGTATCAGGACACACCACTAGGTCCCCTAGTAGTGCCCTTTTACCCTTTTTTGGGGAAGGGTTCCCCTACTAGATAGACTACAGAAGAAAAAAAAAGGTACCCTTATTCTATCCTCTCAAATCTGGAGGAGCTGGACCAAGAAAGGCACCCCCCGTTGGAGTATGACTCCATTGGGCCAAAGGTTTCCTATGAGAAGCTCAGGCGGCAGCCATGCAGCCCTGGGCGCGCTGCTTCAGCTGGCTGCGCTGGAGGCTTGGGGAAGGGCACCAAACAAGAAATTCCCCAAGTTCCCAAGGGTCTGGGTGGCGTTTGTCCCTTCCTCATGGTTGAAGTTGGGAAACATTTTTCCCATGTTTGATCTTCTTGTGGTTTAGTGTTTGAAATCCAAATCCAACTTAACTGCTAAAATTTATGTTTTTTGCTCCCCCAAACCCAACGTCAACCCAGTGACCCTAGAGGCCATGGCATGCCATCCGTGTGAAATAAAAAGCATATTTGTTTCAGCAAGGTGGGAAGACTATGGGTTGAAATTTGGGGCGGCCGCTCCGATGGGTCCAAGATCGTCCAAGTACCAAAAGTCCAAGGGTACCTTCCAACCATTCTTTCCAATCCTTCTTTCTATCAAACCGCCCCAAATCCCTGCAAAAACAGCCGGTTTTTGAAAAGAACGATGCTTGAAAAGAATGGGGAATCAACCCCTAGATTTGTTGTTTGCTTTTTTTCCAATGAATCAACCTCACTTGCGCAAAGCGAATCGACCGGATCTGACCTGTTGGTTTTCCCGATTTGGAAGCCATTTGTAGTGGCCCCAAAAGGTGATCACCTTTTAGTTGTGGGTCCGTAGATGGGGCAACTGAGATTAGGAGAGCTGCCATCCCGGGTGCTTGTGGCCTCAGCAGCTAGTGATGAAATGAAGAGAAATTGGTTGTCTTTGGGGATGTCCTGGTAGCTTCCCCAGAATTAGTTCCTTTTTTTTTGGTTTTACTTTTTTCGGGTTCCCTTTGTTTTCCACTACCGGGCAAAAAAGATATATATATATATATATGTATGTATATATATATATATATTCTTGCTGGGGTCCTAATTCCAGCCAAGGTAGTTCTCAGAGGGCAGGTAATATTGCCCAGCCATTTCAAGACGCAGACGGAGCGTGCACAGAGACTACCGAGAGGTCTTATGCTCAATCCGCAGATTGCCAAGGATATTGCAGAGGGAAAAACGGCGGAGGCAGCAGCTTCAAACGGAGCGAATTGCAGCAACCTTGCAGCAGTTGTTTTGGGCTTGCCATCCTATGGGATGTACGCCCTCTTCCAAACAAGGAGTCTTGATCAAGCATCCACTAGTAGGGACTCGGCTGACATTGGACATTCGTTGTTTGTGGGTTGTGTGTCCCTGCTAATTGCCTGTGTTCAAAACAGAGCATGGGGAACATGAGGCTTTGTGTACAGTGAGCGATCTCCATGTGGTGTGTTCACTTAAAAAGTGCGCCACGGAGGAGATGTATCATCAGTTCACTTTGCCCGATCATTGTGAGAGGCACATGGCAACCAATGGCAAGCAACTGGCGAGAGCTGTCTTAATGGATTGCCGGTGTGCCATCGGGGGTGTTGTGAAGCGCAGGCTTCGTGGCGTGTGCATTCTTGCAATTCAGCTCCAACCTCCTGTCGAATACCGAATCAGGGCCATGCAAATGTTAAGGCCCTTCCTCAGTCCTCACTTCCATTCAAATAAACTATTGTATATTTTCGCCTGTGGGTTTGAAAAGGCAATCTATCACCGCAGGAAATGTTTGCTCATTTTCTTCAGGGGCCGAGAAAGCAATTGGTGGTTCACCAAAAGTAGCTGGGCCACAACGTCTCCCATTGCTATTGCCTCACAGCACCTCAAGTGTCGCATTTCGTAGGACGGCATGACTCAGCTGTACAAGCTGGGCGCGGTGCCTCTCGGCACGTTTGTCGGCTGTTTTTTTAGGGGGTTGGGTTGGAAACCGTTCTCAAGGAACAAGGGAAGGTCCCATAAAGTCCGTGGTGGTTAGCCATCCGGTTCCGGAAAGGTGTTTAGCTTTGTCGGTTTAGGGGTAGTGTCCACACCACAAGAAGGGAGACTTTGATCCCCTTAAACGGGTATCACAAAAAAGCCCCAAAAAATGGGCGCGTGAATGTTGAGCCTGAATCTAGGCACCCGAAGTTTCAACAACTTGGCGGGTGAAATGGTGAAGCCAGCTGCCATGTGTTTCTGCTCGGGTTTTGCATAGCAGTTGCATTTTCCCCGATTTCCCATGATGGATTTTCCTGTCTCTGCCAAAACCAGCTGTTTGAGAGATCTCCTGTTGGAGACCCGCCCACTCACCAAGAAACAACAAGGATTTTGCATATGGAGTGCAAAGACTACAAAAGCGATGGCCAAGAACTGCTGAAAAGTAGAACACCAACCACATCCTTGAAAGCCAGCGGAAAAGTGAATCTCAACAACAACAAGATGCTCCCGATCTAGAAAACGGTTCGGACGTCACTTTTGTGGATCCACCCCTGTAGTATGTTAAAAAGTGTACCAAAGGATTGCTGAAAAAGACCAACAGGGGGAGAAGAGCTGAACTCCACAAACATCGCATCCAAACCGTTTTCTAGACCCAAGTGAGTGTGGGGTTGGGCTTTCTTCTTTGAGGGCAGCGTTCTTTGCGCTTGGCTTCAGCCCTTGTGGGGCTCCAAATCCCCCTCTTCCGCCCAGGTTGCCTTCAGGGATTGGCCAACACCCGAAGTTCCTGGACTTCGTAGTTTTCGGCTAGGTCCCCCAGCTAGGTGCCCATTTTTTTTTACCATTTTTTGGTTGGGAGGGTTCCCCTACTAGAATAGACTACCAGAAAAAAAGAAGTCGGGACCCTTCTTCTAAGCTCTCTACTGAAAAACCTGGTCGGGCTCGGACCATTTGAGCGGCAAACAACAGTTTTTTTCAGAGGACTTTTGGGCCACTCGGGAAGCGAGCGGCACAGACCAAACCTGGAGTCTCCACGACCCTTGAAAAATGGTTGGTCATTCCCCAAAATGGGGTCACGGACCAGTTTTTATTTCGGGCCATGGAGACTCCAGGGACAAGCAGCCAAAAAAAAAACCGCCCGCCCATCCCCCGACCGCCGCCGGGATTCCTCTCTTGGAAGCCTCCCTGAACGGTGCCCCCGAGCCCGGGTGGTCGCCTACTTGGGGTCCACCCGAGAGCTTTCAGCTCTGGGGGAAGAAGCAAAGAGCCCTCATGTCCGTAGCATATCCGTGGCTGGACGAAGTCTTGCACCGCTTGGAAACCAAGGTTGAAAGTAGGGTTTGTTGGTATTTGCAGGGCAATCATCATGCCAGGGTCTCTGAGGTGGTGCAGGATTTCGTCCATCCACAGTAGGGGTGTCCTTTTTTTTTCAGGGCCCCCCCCACAAAAACGGATGGTGTTTGTTCTACTGCGGATGGTGGGAGGCCATTTTCTCAGCACCATTCAGACACCCCGGAAATGATTCGCTTCCCCAACGTAAATTCCAACAAACAACGGTAGAGCAAAAGAAAACACGTGCAGACAAATACCTGGAGTCTCCATGACCCTGTAAAAATTGGTCCATGACCCCATTATTTTGGGTAATGACCCCATTTTTCAAGGGTCATGGAGACTCCAGGTATTTGTTTGTACGTGTTTGCTTTTATTTCCTTTTTGGTTTCCCGCTAACCCCAAGAGTGGTACCGAGCCACCAGGACAGACTTGGGGAATGCTTGGACATGATTCGGGTGGGTTTTCTTGAGATTCCCCCCTTTTTGTGGCTTTAAAGGGAAACCAACAGGGCACCCAGCCCTATTGGGGGCACCCCAAGGGAGACAGTCATTTATGACCGCCAGGTGCCAAAGCTCACAGCGCTGCTGAGCCACGAGCTTCTCGACGTGGCCGTCGCCAGCGCCGGGTTAGCCCAGTCGGAAGACTCCCGGCCGTGGGACTCGAAAAGCAGAGGCCCAAAGTTTGTTTCTGCGGCTTGGGGACTTGTCTCAAGAGAGCACTCCTGCATCACTTTTTGTTTTTCCGGTTTGGACCGGTTTGGTGGCAAACCAGAAGTTTGGACGGGTGCTTTTCTGCCAGTCCACTCGGGAAGTGAGAAAGGGACCCTGCAAAAAAAAGAGTTGCTGGGTTTCCTGTTGTTCCCCCTTTAAAACCACCCAGGATATTCAAGTCCCCTGTACCCCAAACAGTCCAAACCTTCCGACCGGACCTGAATTCTGCCCTCTATGCCTTCGGAGAGACATGGAACCTTAGCTCAGCTTGAGCTTGCTGAGCAGCGCGTCCAAGCTGGCGGTTTTTTGCGCTAGAGCGCGACACATATGGCTGTGGTTGTGCAAACCGTTTTGGGATCCCATTTTGGGGTTTTCGGTGGTGCACTGCACCACCCATTCTAGAACCTATTTTAGTGGGGATTTGGGATGTTCACTGGGGGTATGGGAGTTGACCCATGGCCATATGAAGGAGCTGAGCACGTAGTAGAACCATCGAGCCGGGCAGAGCCGAACCATGTTGTAGTGTCCAAAGCTCTTGGTTTTACCTTTTTGGTCCATGTTTAGAAAAGGTCCTAAAAGGTTCACCTTCTATGTCCAGGTCCTTTAGGCAAGTAAGAACAGATTCAGGTTGGTAATGTGCATGGGCAATCCTACATCAGTTGGAGTGGATCAAGCCGTGTAAATACTGGGGAAAACCGCCAATCCTAACTGGTGCGAAGTGGATTTTGTCCATCCACAGTACGTGTTATGTGTCATTTACCAGGCTTTTATTATATGTGTTTTGAACATCTATCGATCGATCCATCGATCCATCCATCTATCGATTTGTCGAATCGTCGAATCTTATCACTTATCCATCTCTCCCCCTCTCTCCCCTTCCCTCCATCCATCCCATTCCATCACATCCGATTCCATGCCACCCCTCATCTTATCCATTTCTCATCTCTTATCCATCTTATCCATTTCTCCCTCCCTCCCTCCCTCCCTCCCTCCCTCCCTCCCTCCCTCCCTCCCTACATCCATCTCTGTGTGGGCATGGCAACTAAACCCTAAACCTCAAACCCTACCCAACCCATCCACCCATCCATCCATCCCTCCCTCCCTCCCATCCATCCCATTTTCTGGGGTAGCGCCTACATCCCTCCCTACATCCAACACATCCCATCCCATGGGGCAACGTGGTCCAGCGCACCTGCGAGGCACAGCTGCTCACCTGCATGGCGCTGGAGGCGGAGACCTGCGTTCAGGCTGGCGCCGAGTGACCGCGGCAGTGCAGACCTCTGGGTCTGCATAGGTTTAGGTGAGCCACGTTCTCAAAACCAGAACCGATTCGGGTAGATGAAGGTTAGGGACAATCCCCTTGCCATAAATAGCTGCGGATATCCGCCTGCTTGATTCTTGAAGCATGGTTCTGGGCAGACCATTTTAATACCGGGTTTTGATTGTGGCTCAGGTGGCTGTGGGTCAAAAACATGGAACCCAAAGTGGCGCCTTGGCAAATGGAACCAAAGACTACAACCTGGGTAACCCCTGTTCTTCAAGTTTGAGCCACACCCAGGTGTTCTTTTGGTATGGTAGGTTTTTGGTATGTTATTTGGGGGTATGCTGTTTGGTATGTTTTGTTGGTATGGTTCAGGTTTTGGTATGTTTTCGGCGCCCAGCTGAAAACTATGGGGTCTTTGCACAGGGAGAAGGGGTGGTTTGGGGGCAGCTGTCAGGGAGAGTTCCGAAGGGTTCCGGGGGGTTCCAGGGCTGTTGGGGTCCTCCACTGGGCATTTTTGTTGAACCCAGTCGTGTGAAGAAAGCGGGTGGGCATCATCCATTTGTTTAAGAACATGTTTTTAGTTTTCTCTTGCTGGTTTTAAAGGGAGTCTATCACTACGGGAAAAAAACAACATATATATATATACACATATTTTTCCCGGGGGGCGAAAACGCAAGTGGAAGTTATTCATGACACATGTGCCCGAAAGACTTTCCGTCGTTGGGGGTGCCCCGAAGCTCCGCGCGTTTGAATGTTTGCAAGCTGCAGAAGCCGAAGAGACACCGCAGAAGCCATGAGGAACCAAAAGACTCTGCTATTGGGTTGGATCTTTAGACCTTTTTTTGGGAGGGATTCCCCTCATATTTCCTTTTTAACCGGCAAGAAGCTAGACTTTTTGCTGGGGAATCAACAGCACGCAAGAGCAGCATGCCTGCGGGGAAACCCCCACGGAAGCAGTTTTAGCAAGCACATGCCTGCGGAAGCAACGGTTCTCGCTGCGGAAGCTTGGCGGAAGAGCTAGCGAAAGACCGATAATGTCAGAAGAGAAATTCGAAATTACATTAACAAACAAACCTGAGAAAGAGTCAATACTGTTATCTACACCACCAGATTTAATATACAAATTAGATGGAGGTCACTCGCCCAAATCCAATGCTAGCAGGGCCTTTTCTCCCCAGTGGTTGTGGTTTGGGGCTGGAGACCCTTGCAGAGTGAACCCCTTGAGTTCTGTGAAGGGCAAAATCCACTTCGCACCCATTGGGATTGACAGGAGTTCATCCATCCCAACCGGTGCAGAATTTCATCCATCGACTCTAGGACCCTCCTAAGGCCTTAGTAAGGGCTTATGGTCGACTTTTTGGAGAAACAGGGGGAGGGAGGCGTGCATGCTGTGATTAAGGGAACTGCCCACTTAAGTAGCACAGGTGAGGTTCTTGTGTTTTTCCACGCCGCTTGCCGAACACACCCACGTACGTGCAACTTTTGTTTTCGTGCTGTGCTTTGTGAGTGGCATGTTTGATTTTCCTGTTTTGGTTTTAAAGGGAATCTATCACAGGAAATATGTGCCAATTTTTTCCAGGGGGCGAAGAAGCAAATGGATGCCAGCCAACAACCTGACCCTCACTCCCACTAACGTGGAACCTGACAGCGGGTCGATCTTCCAGCTACCCTCCCGCAGGTGCTGCTCCGGATGGACGTAATCCTGCACCATTTAGAAAACCTGGAATCATAGGTGTCCTTTTTGGTTGTTTTGGTCGAAAAATAGATGGCGATTCCTGGTTTACCTGGTGGTTTAATTATCTACCAGGGCTATGCCTGGAATGGTTCGATTCCCCAACATACATTCCAACAAACCTTCTGGTTTCTTGCCCATGGTTTCATTTCATGGTGCGGTCCGGGGCTTCGATTTCAACCATCCACAACATGTCTCGAAATGGGGCGACCCTGACAAAAATGTGTGGTTGTCATTCATTCCGGCCGTCCCCCCCAAAAACCCAAAAACTATCAACAGGTTAGTTTCGTGGAAGGGAGCTAGGTCCCCCAGTAGAGGGTTCCCCTGCTAAAATAGATGTTTTGAAAAAAGTGGGTACCCTTATTCTAACCTCTCTACTGGAGGACCTAGTTTTGTCCCCCCGGAAAAAGAAAAGGAAGAAAAAACGCATCCACAGGTCCTCAGCCCTCATGTAGGTTACCTACTATTCTGACTACATTCGGTTAGCTACTAGAGGTGGTTTGGTTGTAGGCTACCTATTATTTTGACTACCTTTGGTTAGCTACTTGGCTTCGCCTTGGCTTCGCCTTCAACGCCGTCGAAGGCCTGGGACGGCGCGTCCTCGGCGCTGGCTGCAGCGCTGGGCGCGAACTTGGGGCGACCGCTGGCGGCGGCGGAGATCTGCAGCTGCGCCTGGCTGCCGCTCGGACGGACCGAGAAAGAACAAGGCGAGGCTCGGAACTGCGTCCAGCTGCGGAAACTGCGAAAGTCGACTTAAAGTACACCAGCCAAACAAAAGAACTGGAGCACTACCTGGAGTCTCCATGACCCTTAAAAAATGGTTGGTCATTACCCAAAATCATAGGGTCATGGACCCATTTTTATTTCGGGTCATGGAGACTCCAGGTAGTGCTAGGCAAGGCGTTCTTTATCTGGTGCCAGAGATGCAAAGGCTCTGAGAAATGGAGACTGAGAAAAACCATCCATCCGATGTGGGTCCCTTCAAGGGGACCTTTGGGTTCATGGTGTAGGTGGGGAAGGTGGTTGAATGAATCGTTGGAAGTTCCCGAATACAGGAAACCGCGAGTTGCTTGGGTCAGAAGGGTCATGCATGCTCGGACCGGAAAAAAGAAAAAAACAATAATCAAACGAGGCTTGGACCCCGCCTTTCCTTTTGTTTCGGGGGGGGGGGGAATTGGGCTGGACGTAGAAGACAAAAAGCGGAACGAAGGATGCTCCCATTTTTTAAAATTTGTTTGGGGAACGATAGGGACTCACTTTCTGGTTCCGTTTTGGACTTTAGTCACTTTTTGGGAGGGAAGAGCATGTTAGTAGTAAATGGAAAGTGTTGCGATATTTTTTGGGCCCATCCAATCAGGAAGCGAGGGGAAGCTCGAGGGAAACCGGTGTTAGTGGGTGGCCCCGGATTTTGAAGCAGCTCTGAGCTCTGATCTTAGAATGAGACTGAACTTGTGGACATATCAGTTTATGTGGTTTTTCGAGCTCATCAGTTTGGGGGTACAGCGATGGAAAGCCATGATTGGGGATCAAATTTAATTATATGTTTGGTGATTGTTGTGAGGATGTGTTGTTCAGACTTCGTAGATCTATGTGAACCCCCTAAAATGGGTGGGTTTCCTTTGACAGATTTCCCATTGGTTTCCCCCAAACAAAACACGTGGCTCCCCAAAAACCAAAACCCAAGACACATGGTTGAACATATCTTTTGCGAGTTCCTTTAAATGCTTCCCCGACAAATGGTCTCAGGTTCACACAGGATGTCCAGCGTGTCATCTTTTTTTGGACATATCAGATGCACGATCTCCGTTCAGAAGCCCAGGCAAGATGATTTGAACGGAATGGCTGCATTCCCATGGCCTCTCATTTCGTGGTGTCGGATTTGGAGGTCCATCCGCTTTGTATTTCCCATAAGACCCTAGCGCTTTGCAGAAGCCAACCACCCCGCACCGACTCCAGGTTTGCGTCCCAGGCTTTGAACATTTTGACACCATTATGTTGCATCTTGGGGTTGAGGACATACGGACCGTAAGCAACCGGAGAGTGTTCAATGGGGGGGAAAGCTGAGATGGCAATGAGCTGGAACAAACATGTCAGCCACGGGGTTCATTGGTCAAAACCAACAACAACTTGTTTTTCCTGGTGGTTGTTTGTTCAAAATCAACAAAAAGAGCGTACCCCCCGAAAAAGACAGACCCAAATATCCATTTATCGCATGGGGCTGTTTTCATATGATTGGATGCTACGAACAGATGGCTACCTGCGCAGACGCACTGGCTGGTTGTTGAGTGGTAAGTAGACAAAGCAGAGGAATCAGACTAAGTGGACGAGGAGATCATGCCTGGACACTTGCCCAACCTACACAATGGCCCGAAGTTCCATTTCGTTTGCAATGAGTTGCCCTCCATTTGCTAAAGAATATTTGCTTTATTTTCCCTTGTCGGTTTCAAAACAAATTCATCACTACTGGTAATAGTGTTATTTTTCCCGAGGGCCTTAACCAAATGGACGTCGCCCGTCGTTTGATCAATATTGTTCGCAACATGGCAGAATAAAAAACAAGCTGTGTGGCACCAAGCAGCTATCACCCATTGCCGGCATTTGGCTAGAGATGCGGCTGCGAATTCTTCTGCATTGTTTCTTCCCGCTGTTACAAGCACTGGGGGCGCAATCATGTTTTAGTGTCCTGTGCTGTAGATGCATTTGATTTGCCAAATGGCAAAGTTAATCAAGCATGTTGATTTATGCTTGCCGGGCAGAGCTGGAAAAGCCGACAGTGACGTTGCACGTTGAACTTCTCGGGTGTTTATGTTCTCACTTCCTAAGCTCACGAACTTTAAACTTTTTGGGAAGAGCATGTTAGTGGTACATGCAAAAAGTTTGGACTCTTTTCGGCCATCCACCCAGCAAGTGAGTGTTGTGTTTCCGTTTTGCGGGTCATGTCAGCGATAGAATCATCAACTTCGGACTTGTCTCAGGTGTTCATTGAGCCAAGGGTTCGGCTTGATTAAAAAACGCCAAGCTGACGCAACGATGTGGATGCGCCCAAAGAGGACAAGAAGACTTACGTAGCAAACTCCGCATAGGGAGCGATTTTTTTGGATGGCTTAAAGGGGACAAGAGGAAACCAGCCACATAGAAGGGTCCCCAATTTTATGAGATACTTGGGTGGGAACTTCCCGGGAAGTCCCCCTCCGAAGACGAGACAAGTCGACTTCGGCCTGAGGCTTTGCAGCGACCAGGCCGGAACTTTGCCGCGATTGGCCCGTTGGGCCAGTGGCAATTTGGGGTAGTGAACTTGCTGGTGCGATAGGTAGGGAATGAGCTTCGGAGTTTGGGTGTTGGGAATGAACCGGTTTTTGGGGATTCCCCAAGAAAGGAGACTCTAGGCTGGATGTTGTTTTTCTTGCCTTGCCTCATTCTTTGCTTATTGAACAAGCAAGTTAACACCTGGTTTCAACGGGGGGTCAGGCCTTTGTAAACCTTGACTATAGTAGAATTCAAAAGTCACTGGGTCTCGGGCTCGATGTTTGTAGACAGTATGCGCTGCTGTGTAGTATTTTACGCGGGCCGGTATTTTGGCTATAGGCTGGCTCGTTTGCTTGAGGCTCCATTCGGGCAGCTGAACCACTCTGACCAGTCACCAGTGCACCCTTGTTTCCTTCTGCTTGGCTGGGCTCCCCTCTCTTCAAATCCCCCCCCCCAAAAAAAAAGAAGAATGACAACGTACAATAAAAGAGAATAAACCACCTCCCCAACAAACAAATCGAGGAGAGCAACGCTTCCACGGCTGCCGGGCCGCAAAGATGCCTTCCATGGCAGTGAGCTGAATCTCACTCTCCGGCATGGATTTCCTGTAAGCAACCCCCCCACAAAAAGGGTGGCATCAGCGCAAAGACAGCACGCATGTCGCAGTTGTTTTCTGGCTTCCTTAGGTTGCTTGGAAAGCCTTGGCTATGGCGTTGGGCTTGCCTTTATGGTTTCTTCGGAATGGCCTGAGCCAACTTCTGCAACGAAAAGTAGCCTTTTGGCTCTTTGAATCTATACATTTTGCAGCGTCTCTCAGACTCTAATCAGCGCCACTCAAGGTGTGTCGACTCTTCGCCTACATGAATGCACGCCCAACCGGGCAGGGTGGCCAGAACGGCAAATTGATCAGTTGCCACTTCTGGATGTGGCAGACCTTCTGGTGAAGGTATGGGTTTGATTGCTTCTTGCCTGCTTGGCTGCCTGCCGGCCTGCTTTGCCTGCCTTGCCAGCTTGCTGGCTGCCTTGTTTGTTTTGTTTGTTGGTTTATTTGTGTTGTTTTGGTTTTGTGTTTTGTTGTTTTTGTTTGGTTTGGTTTGTTTTGTTTCTGTGTTTGTTTTGCTTGTTTGTTTTGTTGGTTTGCTTGTTGGTTTGGTTGGTTTGGCTTGGTTTGTTTGGGTTTGTTTGTTTGTTTGTTTGTTCGTATGCATGTATGTATGTTTGTTCGTTCGTTCGTTCGTTCATTTGTTCGTTCGTTGTTGGTACCCGACTATTGCGGCTTGTAGCTTGTGGTATCCTCCAAACCAAACACCAAACAGTCTGATCACTGTTGGCCGTTTTGTTGCCGGAAGCATGTTGGCCATTTCGTTTGGGGTTTAGGATTGGCTTTGTGGTGGCTCAGTGTTGGTGTTTGGGTAGCTTAGGGTTGGTCAGCCTTGGTTTGGGGCTCGATCTGGGCGTGAATTGGTGGGGGTTCAGGTTGGGTTTAGGGTTGGTGTAGGTTTGGTTGCAAGGTTTGGGGATTCCGGTGAGTGTGATTTAGGATGGGTTAGGGCTGCACTTACGTTTCCTTCATTGTCTCGGGGTAGACTGATCGCCTTTTTGTGCTGTATGAGACAAACCCGGCAGAAAATCGGCCTATCATTAGTTGAGTTCCTTTGGGCTGTTTCAAGCCCAAGCCGTCTGAAAATCGCCGAGTTGGTTTGGATTGGTGGGAACTGGGGATTTGAACCGGTCCCTGGCATTTGTAGAGTTGGTACATGGAAACCGCGTGGCTCCAAAGCAATTAGGCGGAAGCTGACATTTGGCGTTTGAACAGTTGGGTGTGAGTTACCTTTTGGTGGACATGATTTAGGTGGGGAGTTGTGTCCACCAACCACTTTTGAGGTGGTTCCCTGTTAAAACTTGCTGGCTCTCAGCCATCCACTTAGCTTTTTAGCCTTTTAGTGTTCAGTTGTAGTTTCCATTTAAACCACTAAAAGTCAAACTTTTACCGGGGGAAGTTTTGAGGTGGTTCCCTATTAAAATCATAGCCATCTGCACCAAGCTTCTATTGCCACCTTTTCCATTCCTTCCAGGGATCCGAATCTTTCTAGACAAAAACCGGAAACCCGGGCCATGGAAACGGATCCGGTTTTTGGAAAGAACGGCGGTTCAAGAGAATGGACAAGGAAAACCTACCCGTAGAAAAGCCAGAGGCTCACAGAATGGGGGTTGCGTTTTCAGTTTCTTACTGGAGTGGTTGCCAGAGGTCACCCCATTTTGGTTGAAAGGAATGGAAAAGGAGTCCTCATGGAATTTGGGGCGCCTCAGAACCTCCGGGTCCTCCATACCAAGCCCCAATTGGACCCATCCCCAAGGTGGTTCTGTTGGTTTCCCTTCTGCTGAAATGAATACCTGGAGTCTCCTGGAAATCAACCGTTAGAAAGCTGCAGGGCAGAGGCGACGCCTTCGTCGCGGCCGACGGCCTGCGCTGCCTTTGCGCCATGCTCCTTGAGGAAGAGGCGGCCGGGCGGTCGGAGCGTCGGAGCGTCGAGCTCGAAAGCGAATTCGCCGGATCTGGCTTTCTGGTTTTACCCAATGGTTCCATATTTACCCAATGGTTCCATATTTAGTCAAGGTCAGAAAAGACTTGAACAAGCTGGACCTTTGTGATTTCCCTCTCTCTCGCTCCATAGTTGTCAGCACCCTTCTTTTCCCCTTCTCTCTCGCTGTCTCCCCTTTCTCTCTTTCTGTCTCTCTCGCGCTCTCTCTCTCTCTCTCCCTCTCTCTCGCTCTCTCTCTCTGGCGGCACTCCAAAGTGAAAACTCCATGGCCGAGCGGGAAGCCGATTCGACACGGCCTCTGTGTAAAAATCCTCACCACTTTCTGGTTTTACCCCATGGTCCATATTTAGTCAAGGTCACACAAGTCTTGAAAATGCTGGACCCTTTTTATTTCCAGGGCCCATCCTGGGCAAGTGAGTTTTGAGTGAAAGTTTCTTGGCTATCTTCCCTTGAAACGACGTGATGGCAGTTGGAGCAACGCCCCATTCTCAACAGCCCAACGCTTCACTCGCTTGCCACAGGGGAACAAGCCCAGATGTGCTTGGCCAATCTGGTCTGCTTAGTCTAGTTGAGCTCACTTTTCAAAGCAGCCCCAGACCATAACTGCCCAACGTGTCACACAATTTTCAATCGACAAGCAAAGCATGAGGAGTGTAGCATATTCAAGAGCAAGAGGACATGGGGGTCCCCGTTGGTTTGTGGTACTATGGTCGCTCAAAGGGAATATGTCGGTCTGTGTCAAAATCGAAACTTGCACCCCCAGCCATTTTGCTGGCGCTTCTTGTTTACTTGTTGTTTTCCCTTTAAACCCAGCCCCTTCAAAGGCCGGGCACCGAGCCTGCCTCAAAAAAACGAAAGAAACCACCCGACTTGGCAACTCGCGAGGGCCTGGAGCCGGTGATGGGCACTTTGGCAGTGCTCAACCGGCACAAGGCGCGTGTCGCGAAGTGTCGCGCCTTCGCGTACCGCGGCCTGGTCTCAACTCTTCGGGCCCGTTCCGTTTCGGACGTTGGTCACTGGGGTTGGGCCACTTTAGACGAAACCCACTTTGGACCTACCTAAGTTTAGAGAGAGCATAAACGTATACGCTAACCATAACTTAGACCACACTATCATTGGACATTTTAGACCATAACACTTTTGGGGGGGGGTTGGTAAATCATGGCCTGCATTGCAACTTGCCGTGCACACCGTCATTTGAAGGAGGACAAAGTGATCCTTGAAAGGAAACCAGAATGTTGGTCCCAGTTTTAGCCACAATGCCCCCATGGTTCCCTTAGGAGTTCCACTTTGGGGGTTCGGTTCCCCAACAAGTGGAAGCCCTCCACAAATCCACATATATTTTTTGGAGGGGGAGGGGGCGTCCATCTAGATTTGTGGTCCGGAGAGTGACGGAACCCAAAAAGGGGAATCCACCATGTTGCGGGTCCTGGTTTGACACAGCTGTTTTTGTTTGCATCATTGAAGCTGCTGGAGTTGCGATAGGAAGTTCGCCAAATACCCAGGGAGAGGTCAGGGGTAGCTCAGTGCCTGAAGAATCCTGGTTTCTTAAATTCAGCGACTCTTGACCATGGGTGTTCTTTTTGGTGGTTTTGGTTAAAAAACAGACGGCACTGGTTTACCTGGTGGTTGAAGCAGCTACCAGGGCCATCTATTTCCCTAAAAGGACACCTATGCTCTTGACCGTGGAGATGGTTTTCACCTACTATGGTGCAAAGGTTAAGTTCCTGGGTAGTCACCGTGGGGAAAATGGAGCTGTGCAAAGAAGCAAGTCATTTGTTGTGGTCCCTGTATTTTGACACATACCCGTAAATGATTCCTGTCAGCTTCAGCTCACTGGCTGTATTTGAGTTGGCCAATATTTTTCAGCGCTGGGTTTCCGCAGGGAGTTGGCGTGTTGTCTCGTTGAAAGAGCTGGGTATGGTATTGCCGCACGACAAGTTGTGATGTCCGTGAACACGTCAAGCCCGGAAACAGTTACTGCCCCCAGCAGCATTGGAGGTGTTGTGTCCCACTTTTGAAGGGGTTCCTAGGGTGTCCAAGTTTTGAAGAGGTTCCTAGAGTGTCCAACTTTTGAAGAGGTTTGTAGGGTGTGTGTGTGTGTGAGTGTGTGTGTGTGTGAGTGTGTGTGTGTGTATGTGTGTGTGTGTGTGTGTGGGTGCGTGCTGCGTGCGTGCGTGCGTGCGTGCGTGCGTGCGTGCGTGCGTGCGTGCGTGCGTGCGTGCGTGCGTGCGTGCGTGCGTGCGTGCGTGCGTGCGTGCGTGCGTGCGTGCGTGCGTGCGTGCGTGCGTGCGTGCGTGCGTGCGTGCGTGCGTGCGTGCGTGCGTGCGTGCGTGCGTGCGTGCGTGCGTGCGTGCGTGCGTGCGTGCGTGCGTGCGTGCGTGCGTGCGTGGGTGGGTGGGTGTGTGTGTGTGTGTGTGTGTGTGTGTGTGTGTGTGTGTGTGTGTGTGTGTGTTTTTGTGGTTTGTCTTTGTGGGTTTTTTGTTGTTTTCTGTGGCTCAAATAAATATCCTAAAATGGTCGCACCTTGGCAAATGGAACCTAAAGACTAAAACCTGCGGTTTGCCCTAGCTCTTTCATTTTGAGCCACACCCAGCTTGTTGTTTTCTGTCTGTCTCTGTGTGCGTTTGTTGGTTGGTTGGTTGGTTGGTTGGTTGGTTGGTTTGTTTTGGTTTTGTGTTTTTGTGGTACTTTGTTGTTTTCTGTCTTCTTTTTTTCGGGAAAAGCCCACCGGAGACCGCACCATTTCTCGCCAGGAGGCCTTCCTCGAGGCTCATGGGACAACGTTACCGGGGTGTGTGGGGAAGATTTGAGAAGCCACACATACTGCGGGTGGTTGCGGTTTAACACCATGGTTGAAACCATGGTTCGTACTTTTTTAACAGGGAATCGAATCATTCCAGGGTTTCTTAGGTGGTGCGAAATGGATTTCGTCCATCCACTGTATGTCTAGGTGATGATTCCAAGCATTCTTTCCAACCATTCTTTTGAAAAGCCAGGTCCGTTTTTCTGAGTTGCCTGAGGTCTGCTGGAAAGAAGCCCTAGAATATGGTCAATTTGGGTGAGAATGCCAATTTTGGTGTTGGACACTTGGGGGACACTACCCATCTTTTGGGGGACTAGGAATTTAATTGGAAGGGCGCGCTACCAAATTGGGGATTTGGACACTACCCATCTTACGTCAAGTTCTCCTGTGCATAGGTGCCGAAAAATAGATGGCGATTCCTGGTTTACCTGGTGGTTTAATCATCTACCAGAAAAACCCATCTATTTCCTCTAAAAGGACACCTATGCTCCTGTGGGTCTGTTTCTTTTTGGTTGAGTTGGCGCCCGTTTTCAGGCCAGTTTCAAGGGAAACACCAAAAGGCACACCGTACAATCCAAAAAGGGTACCGTGAAACAAAGACTATGCACCTTGAAAGCCTTGTCGGCTTGGGTTTTGCACATTGACAATTAATGTTTGAGCGAGTTTCCTGGTTGATGTCGGATACCGATTAACACATGGGGAGATAATACCAGATTCCCTTACCTGCAAAGCGATAAGAGTAGGAAACAATAACCAACAAATCCAGATTGTTATCCAGGTGGATAAGAAACAGCTTTTGACGTTGGCAATGTCTGAGCTTGTTGCATCCAACCTGCTCCATACCCCACCACCAACCTTAGCATGTACCACCAACCACCACCAGCACTCACCAACCAGCAGTAGACTTTGCTTGAAATGCTACCAAAGAGGCCCCAAGCAGCCAAGTTTTGCATGACACCCTTGACGAACCCAGCCAAATTTCCAAGGGAGTGGTACAGGAAACACCCAGGAAGCCAACAATGTGGTTTGCTTGAGGGTAGGGAAGAGAGAAAGAAGCTTTGCACAAAATTGCTAAACCAATGCCAAACCAATTCCAAACAGTACTGGGCCAGCTCAAAGGAATAATACTGTACTTCAGTACTAAACCAATGCGACCAGTACACAAGGATACTAAACCAATACTAAGCCAATACTGAACAGTATATACTTACTGGAAGACTCCCTATGCAGGCCCCAGTCTGACCGCCATCTTGTTTTTGTGTTTTTCCCTGTTGACCCCCCCGATTTAGCTTTGGGGTCCTTTACAAATCACGACCACCTTCGGGGTGCTGGGAATGAGCCGGAAGGGGATTCCTTTAAAGGAATCCAAATCGGGCATGGTTTTGTTTGGGGTCATGTCATTCGAGCCTGTGACTGTGTCTAGTTGGAGCCCCCAAAATGGCTTCGGTTCTACTTTGGCTTTCCCGTTCAAACCACAAAACAAATACCACAGCCAGCCAGAAATGTCCAGGCCACCCATTCCAGATGGAGGCTCCAGGCCGACCAAATCGGGCCTGGTTTTTTTGAGGTCATTCCTAACCCAAAAAAAGAGAAGAAGCCACCGATTCCTTGGTCGGGGTGACTGAATTGTTCGTCGCCAGATGGGCGGCGTGGAGCTTCTGGTGCCACTCCTCACAGCGAACAATCTCCGGCATCGGCATCTGGCAGCCAAGGCTCGCTTCCGGTTTCGGCAACGGCTCCGGAACGCAGGAACGCGGTTGGAAACCGGGGAATGGGGAGGGGGTGTCCCGGATGTTTTTTGGGGACCACCCAAAATGTTGCTGAAAGGGTGGTTTCTCCCTTTACCGCAAAAGAAAGGGGTACCGACTCAAAAGAAGGAACCGCACGCATTTGTTTATTTTTCGCCTCCCAGAGGGTTGCCTTAAGCATTTGAAGATGGGGGTAAAAAGTGGAGTTCGCATACCTCCCAAAGGGAACTTGGACAAGTTTCCCCCTGTTAGTTTTACATGGAATCTATCACCACCGGAAATAGTTTGCAGGAACATGCCCCCAAGCTGTTAGTTTTAAAGGGATTCTATCACTACTGGATATGTTGGTTTTAGGGAATCCATCACTACTTGCCATATTTATGTTTGAGGCACCATGGAATACTTTTCCCCTTCAGTGGTGAATGCCATTGTTTTTGCAGTTGCAATGATGCTCAGTCCATGCAAAGATCAAAAGTTCGACTCCCATATCCTCACTTCCTGCTTTTCTGGGCTTTAAAGTGTTTGAAGCCCATTTTAGTGGAACACCAACCATTTGGGCCTTTCTTGGCCAATCCGCTCAGGAAAAGCATCTGGACCGCGTTTTTTGGCTGGATGCAGCAACTGAGGTGCGGGACACCTCGCAGGCGTCACTTCGCAGGTTGCGAAGTCATCTGGGACGACCATGAGGTGAACCTCAAATTTATTAAGCCCTCCCTTAACCTCCCCCACAAGTGTGGTATTATTTGCAGCCATGGGTCAAAAGCCCGGAACATCCGATTCAATCCCCACTAGAATAGGTTCTAAAATGGGTGGTGCACCCACCCCCAAATGGTACCATTGGTTTTGACCCACAGCCATATGAATCCGATGAAAAGACTGAGCCCATCCTAGTGGGCACTTGTCATTCAAGCGGTTTCCTCAGGCGCTTTGTGCGGTGCTGGACGAGGAAAACGCGCGGAAGAGGCCTCCGGGCGTGCGGTTGGACATTGGGTGTTTGGTTGCCACTCAGAAGCCAAGAGAGTTCGCTTATGACAAGGGTAGACATGGGTAGCCGGAAATTTGAAGCAAAATAACTGGCCGCATATGTGTTTGCATCCAGGAGTGGTAGTACAGACCACCTTCTTCATAGCCATTATATAGGCCTCATATGTATATTCCTTGTTATTTGCCCAAGGGAATGAACAAGGGGTATGTGCACGGAAGCACACACCCTTCCTTATTCACTTTTATAAGGCCGAGAAGACCAGAATCTCCGCAGTGGCGGGCTCCCTTGGACGATCCCGAAAGAGCCACAATGCCAATGATCGGCCGGATAGATCAGCGTCATTGGTTGACAGATCGCCCGCTTTCCTTAGATTCCGATCAACATTTATACATTCAGATACGTTGCATGTCCCTCAAGGAGAAGAGCGGAATGTCATTTCCATCGATATTGGTTTGCTTGTAGTTTTGGCATGGTAGAGACATTAGTTTACGCCAGAGAAAATGTGATTGAGAGACAAACACAAACGTTCACATGTCAAGAGACCGCTTCTGTTCCTTTCCCTTTGTCTCTGGTCCTCACGTTTGGTCGCAACAGAAGTCCCTTGAAGATCGATGCGTGAGCGGGAATTGTGCCTGGGAGATCAGCAAACGAGCCATCCAGAAGACACGGCATCATAGCTTATGTGCCACCGAGCGAAGCGATTTCTTACGTTTATAGTGACACATTTGAGTGAGATGGAGCGAGAGCGATTTGGGTGAGCGAGGCAGCATTCCCCACCGCCCTATGTCCTCACCAATTGCTGGAGCTCGGAATGAAGAAGGGAGTGAGAGTTGGGTGCGTGATAAAGTCTTCGGAATTCCAACACGAGAATGACCCGGCCCAACATTAAGAATGAGAGCGTGTGATGAATGACTGTAACGGACATGAACTAGTTGTTATTCTCGTCTCTTTGTGTTTTCTCGTGGTTTGGCTGGAAGCTCTCCATGGTTCATGGTATGCGGAATGTGTTGTTTGTCATCGGGGAATGCGAATTTAGAATGTGAGGCCCCACAACAACGTAGCAAGGCCCCCCCCCAAAAAAGAAGCTCCCGGGCGACCGGCGCCTGGCTCACAAGACATAGGGCCTTTGAGCCTTTGAGGATGAGAGACAGAGATAATGGGAAGGCGGAATGTGTCTAAGATCTTTTTATAATTCACCCGCCTTCTCTCTGCCCTGCGGTCGTCCGTTATATGAATCTTTACTAGCCCAGAGGGTCCAAGTACCTTCTACTACTTAGACGCCTTTTTACCCCTCAAAAGCCACTATCATGAGGTACTTGGACCCTCTGGGTAGGTGAGGTGACTGCAGAGGCTACCAAGGGACCCTTGAAGGTTTGGTGTCCGTTCATCGGAGGCGCTTGGAGGAGCTGGGGGCAGGGAGCCCAGGCCAACACCCAATGGCAACCGGTACCGAAACCGGCGGATTGGGCGTGTCCTTTTTGGATGCCACGCTGTTTGGGGTTGGTTTGAAGGAAAACCAACAAGAAAACCAAAGCAATTTTGGGGACTCCCCTGAAAACAAATCGTGCATGTTTTTGGCTGGGTCACTTTTAAATGGAGCATTGAACAGGTTTTTCCCTGCAGGAGGTTTTCTCCACCCCTCTGGAGGTTTGGGGCTGTGGTGTTTCTGGACTACGTTTTCGCCCTTGGCAACCATTTGTTCCGTTGCGGAATACACTTACATGTCAAACCCGCAGAGTACCAAAGCTCGCCTCACAATTCGGCATCAGCATGGGGTGATTTCAAGAGACGCGCACACACATACACACATATGTTCTAGTGTTTGTTGTTGTGCGCACTTGATGACAAACTGGCAAACCGGTATTTTGGGGCCTTAAATGATCTTGACCTAGCGTACCTTGTCTCGGTGAAGTTGCTAGACGTACAGATCGGAGTCGCCTAGTTCTACAGCCACGTTGTTCCACAGCTATAGGGCGATTCTCAGCACCGCCGTTTTCAGGGGATGACCCTTTCAACTTCCTGGGATGATAGTGAATCAGTTGGGAGGCAACGGGTGTTGAACTTTGCTGTATTTGGGTTTGTTTTGTTTTTAGGGGAACCCCCCAAAATGGTGACTTTCCTGTTGGTGTGCCTTTCAAACCACCAAAACAGGGTACATACCCTCAAGAAAGACACACCCATATTGTGATACTACCAGCATCCTGCGGTCACTGGTGGCTGAATACCAACGCAAGGTCTACGATGAATTCAAGGAGATCCTTGCGCAGCTTGGATGAAGACGCCTCGTGAGGGTCCCCCAGCCACCAACCTTTACTTTTATCCCACTTGCCCAGTCGTACTTACTTTAGCCTTTGATTCTCTTTGTGTTGAAGGGTGGGGTGGAGTTATCTTTTGAACTATCCAACCAAATTAGTGTCCGCTTCATCCATGTCCTCTGCGCAGGCAAGCTACGGAACAGCTTTTTCTGGAGTATCATCCTGCCAAAATTCAATAAATCCACTCTTGGTTGGGGGACAACCGTCTAGATACGGTTGATTCCCTTGAAAATGCGAAAGTAAACCAGCCAAACAAAGAACCTGGATTGCTAGTGCAATACAGGCTTTCTTTATTGCGCACTTGCAATAGTCAGGGAATCCGCTGTTCTGTTTCACCGTAGGAGTGCTTTGGCGAAAGTCGCGAGAGCCAAAAGCAGTGCCTCTTGCCAGCGGCATCGGAGCTTCAGAGATGCCAGCGTACCTGCCACGCCGGTTGGGCCAGGTACCATGCATTGTTCAAGGAAGGCTTTCTGAATCTTGGAGCTACAGCAAGTTCTTTGTTGGTTCCAAGTTAGTAGATCCTTAGTCAATCCGTATGCCAGGTTGTTTCCGCTGTAGTGGTGTCCCACTAAAGGATTAGGATTAAGGACAACCCCCACCCACATTAAACAAGCCAGTTGCGAATTACCAAAATGGCACCGCCGTTTGCTTTGTTTGCCAGCAAACAAACATGAACGGGGACCACTCTCAAGCTTTTGTTTGTTGCGGAGATGCAGCTTTTTCAAAGTCATACCTTTTTATGACTTCTTTCTTGACGAAGCTGGTTCGGTGATTGGTTTGGGGATTTCAACCCTTGGTTCTTGAGGGCAAATGGGAACCACCCGCCGAAACACCAATCCAAACCACCAATCCATGCTACGGAACCCCCTCGGAGCCCCTTGCATGTTGTCAGCAAGGAACTTAGGCCAAAGGAGTGGCTGGGGCTCCGCATTTCGTCGAGTCTTGAAAAGGGATGGGCAACCGGAGTCGAAGTTTTCCTGTCGGATCTGTGACAACGAGCTCTTCGTTGTTCCTTCGACAGCTTGTGTGATTATTTCGGCTTGTTCCAGCGCCATGCAGGTGCCCTGCATGTTTCTCATGGGTCAGTGGACTTCCCCTTTAAAAGTTGATCACGTGACTGGTGGTTTCCCAGTGAAACGATCGGATTCCACTTTTGGAGGTTCCAAGACTTGCTGGTGCTCAGGGAATGAGGGGAATGAACCTGGGGATTTCTTTCAGGGAAACCACCAGTTGGATTCCGCTGGATGGTTTATTTGGGGCTCATTCCATTTCTCAGGGCCCCTGCAACTCTCGCCTCTCGCCTCAAGCCATGGAAGTTGGAGACATGGAGGAACATGTCCAGGTCCCCAAGGTGCCCGACCTCTCACCCCTTTTTTGGTTGGGAGATTCGGTTCCCTTAAATAGACGTCCTTAAAAAAAGAATCGGGTACCAACTTATTCTATCCTCTCAAATCTGGAGGACCTAGTACAATATTCCACGGTTTTAGTGGTCCCCTTTGCTTTCGCGCTCGGTTTGCACTTGTTTGCACTTGTTAAGCCTAAGAACGTCGAGCCCTCTCGTCGAGTGTTCTCCACTGGAGGACCTGTGGGTTTAACTCCCGGCCCGGGCCGCAGGAGTTGAGCTCAGCAGACATCCCCGCCTCCATGCGCCTTTGGCAAGACGGACTCGCCATGGGGCGGGGTCGCGATCTCCCCCGTGGCGGGGGCAGGGACACAAGGGATATCTAAAGGGTGTATAGCCCAGGTCCCCCAGCTAGGCGCCCTTTTGCCCTTTCTTGGGGGGAGGGTTCCCCTACTAAAGTAGACTACTGCAAAGAGGGTACCTTTGTTCCAACCTCTCTACTGAAGGACCTAGTAGCCACGCCGTGGATGAATCAACGCCTGCGCCGCCGTTCAGAAACCCTGGAATGATTCGAGTCCCCCGTAAATACCAACAAACGTTATGGTGTCAACCATGGCTTCAAAGTGGGGGGTGCATCCGCAGTATGGGTTTGTATCAAAGTCCTTTAGGGTTCTCTAACAAACAAAGCCAAAAAGGGTACCCTCAAAACAACAAAGACGCATATATGAGTTAGCATCAAAATTACTGTCATTTACTTCATTTTATGTAGGAGTGTTTCATGCACGTGTTGTTTTTGTGTGTTTCTCGAAAAACGATACGGGACGTGTTTTATATTATACATACCATGGAGCACTTGAACAGGAGTCCCTGTATTTCCTTGCTGCTTGGCTGGAACTGCAGGAGCCCAAGTTTCTTTCAACTTATGGAAGACCAATCTAGTGGTAGTTTGCCTTTAGACTTTTTTACGCGCCAATTCACGGAAGTGAGATAATGGAAACCAGGATGAATCAGACCTCTGGCTGATTAAAACAAAACAAACAGTTGGGCTTGTCTCAACTAAGAAGAAGCCTGCCCTTTTTGTCGAAGAGGACCACCCTTTGTTGATCCACCAAGTTGATGTTTGCCGGGCTTGGCATCGTCGCAAATTACAGCGACATCACGAAGGGTGTGTGTTACAGGTGTCTTTCGTATTAGGAACCCAGTACTGATTGGTGAATTACCAGAGTTTACCCAGATGTGTCTTTTGTCCTGTTTTGGAAGGATCAACCGTGTGCGTGTGCCGTGGCGCTGAATAAGCCTGGAGCAATGTTTGGGTGAGAAATACAGCGACCCAGACAACTTCCAGGTAGACACATGGCTGTGGCTTAAAAAAACGGGACCAACATGGGTTGCCCTGGTAAGTGGACACATGGACCAAACCCTGCGTAACCCTAGCTGTTTAATTTTGAGCCACACCCACATTGGTCCGGCGCAGCGGGGGGAGTCATTCCCCCCTCGCAAACATCACGGGACGGAAGTGGGCCAGTTGAAGCCCGAAGCAACAGAATTGAGAGCTGAGGTCAATGAGTCTGCCTACTTTATGGCGATCTCACCTTTGCATGTTGCCAAGGGATGTTACTTGAGCTTTTTTTTTGCCAAGGAAGGCGTTTTCCGTATTTAACCACTAAAAGCTATTCACTTTTGGCAGGGGAGCAGAAAGCAACCGAGTCATCATGATAAAGGCCTGTTACTTGGGGATCCCTTAGTTCAGCTTTTGGAGTTATAGTGGCATGTGCTGATCGATCACTTCCATTTGCTTAAGAATATGTGTTATGTTCCCCCTTTTTTTTTGTTTTAAAGGGAATCTATCACTACTGCATTTTTTTTCCAGGGGGGCGAAGAAGCAAGTGGAAGATCCGGGGCAAGCATTCTTGGTTGTGGTTTGGTGTTGCTGTCAAGTATGCCGTGTTAGGATGCTGAAAGCTGCTCTGAAGCGCGGAAAGATCATACTTGTTCCATGAGCGCCACTGGACAAATGCGTTCTTGAGACGCAAATGGCCGCTTTTGCAGAATGTTGCCTTCCTCTTTGCAACATGCGTTCCAGCATGCTGAGGGTGACAACTCTTTGCTGAGCGCCTGGTTTGGTCCTGATTTTCTGTGCCAGTGAATTGTTCACTGGGTCGCAAGAAAGGGATCGTTCAAGAACCATTTACATGCAAGACCATGTACTGTAACTACTGAAGGCCATTTGCATGGAACTGAGGAAGCCCATGTTTGCCTTTGGACTAGACCACCTGGGCTCCATGGCAACGACATGGGTGAATCTTTCCCTCTGAACACGGCGTGAGAAATGGATAGCTGCATTTGGTTGCAAAAACCTATGGATTGGCTCCAATTCTGTGGGTATCTTTGGGTTCCAGGTTGACCTGCGGTGTGTATGCTGCGCCGGCAGGGAATGAGACATATGAGCCGTTTAGAGGACACCACATCTTTGGTTTTCATTTTGCCAAGGGATGTTAGGACTTGAGAACTTTTTGATCCAACTCATGGGTTTTCCCCAGTAAACCACTAAAAGTTAGTCACTTTTCGCAGGGGTTTGCAGATTTCGCCACCGAGAACTCGGGGGGTGTTTCCCACTTCTCCTTCCCCGCGCATCTCTCGCGATCGCAAGTGTCGAGCTGCCCGCGCCCGAGGCAAGCTTTGCTGCATGCGCTTTGCCGCGCCGGCCTTGGGGTTTTTCACTTGAGCCGGGCCAAAAGCATGCGGAACTTGGGAGTGCTTTGCATTTTTCTTTGCTTCGGGTGATAAACACGTGTGTTCAAAGTGTAGATGTGTTCACGCTACCATTGTTGCAGCATCATTCAGAACTTGTTTTGTGGCTTGCAGTCAAATTATGTCAATCCCTGTGCAAGTAACTCTTTTAGCATGGAGATGCCAGACTTTGCCGAGCCGAAAGGACAGTTCTAGCGAGCAGAATCCTGATAATTGGCCTTTCAGCTGGACCCACGCTTGCTTGGCGTTTGTTGGTCGAATGATCCCAGTTGTTGAGCGGCAATCAATTCTCCTGGTTCCTAGCTCAAAACGGTGGGAACTGATAAGGTGATGCCAAAGGGATGGCCCCTATGCTCCCAGCCTGCAACCCTTGGGTTGGTGCTTTTTTTTTTGGGCTTCTGCATTCCTGGCTTTCAGAACAGGCTCCTCCAGGCCGGTTGAGCATCTCAGTTCAAGGCATTCCTCTTTTGCCTTTCCAAGAGGACGGCTCGGTTTTTTGTTAGGCAGTGTGTATGCCAAAACATACCCGGAAAGGGACGGACATGGACCAACCAAAAGAGGATCCCCAAAAAACAACAACAAACCCAACACGACTTTGCTGCATTTTGCTTGGATGTTAGGACTCTAACTGTTTGCCAACTCATGGGTTTTCCATTGAGCAAACCACCAAAATTAAACCCCTAAAAGTCAAACTTTCAGCAGGGGAGCAGAAAGCAATCGAGACGACTACAGGTTAACATGGAACCTCAAAACCCCCCATTTGGACCCCTCTTTTTAGGTTCCTTCTTTTTTGTTGGTCGGGGAGTAGGTTCCCTCAGACAAACCACTTGGGTACGTTGCCATTTCTCCGAGGCGACCTTTTGTCCCTGGCCTTTTACTGCCGAAGCTGCGATGGACCAC